CTTAATACTATCTAACATATGTCAAACAAGAACATTGCCAATAACATTCATGCGTAACAATATAAGCTTGAGGCTACTCAATGCTACGTAACGTCGTGGCTTTTGTTGTTAATGATGAAGACAAACGCAATGTTAGCACGACCGACAAATTTGACGCAAACAAGTTGGGTTTGTATCATGTCCATGTCAAGGGCAAAGAGACGGAGCACGAGACAATAGGTTCTTTGCATGTTCTTTGCAAACTGCGTCTGAAGGCTTCGTTTGTTTCTACATCTGCCCACCGAACAGCCCTGCTGGCCCTGCTGAGCCTCCGGGCACCGTATGAAGAAAGGCCTCCAGAATCACCACGGAAAGGTGCCTCACTTGGCCATGCGGGACCGTGAGCCCGAAAAAAGAAGCGTTGCTATGTAGCAAACATGTCAACTGGTAAAGGTTGCACATCAATGTTTGACACTACCAACTACCACTCAATTATTGAGGGTTGCTACTCGTGGTATCATCAAACTGCACCAGCTGCTTTCTTGGTCAAGGTCCTCTTATGCAGAGTTTGGGTGATGCCATAACCAGTATACAAACAGTTTTGTTCTCGTGAAACTTCTCAGCGAAAGACCAAAGAACTTTGGGCCGGTAAAGTTGAAGAGTTTGGGATCTTTCCTGCCTGGAAAATCATTTTGGCCGGTCCTACACGGAGGCCTTGGCCGGTCCCACGTGGAGGCCTTGGCCGGTCCCACGTGGAGGCCTTCACCGGTCCCACGTGGAGGCCTTCACCGGTCCTACGTGGAAGCCTCACCGGTCCCACGTGGAGGCCTTCACCGGTCCTACGTGGAGGCCTGGCCGGTCCCACGTCCCACGTGGAGGCCTTCACCGGTCCCACGTGGAGGCCTTCACCGGTCCTACGTGGAAGCCTCACCGGTCCCACGTGGAGGCCTTCACCGGTCCTACGTGGAGGCCTGGCTGGTCCCACGTCCCACGTGGAGGCCTTCACCGGTCCTACGTGGAGGCCTTAGCCGGTCCTACGTGGAGGCCTTACCCCATGACGTGAGGCCAGCCAAGACCCCCACATAAGGCCCGGGAATCCTGCTATGTATAGAATGATGAAGGAACTGCACATTTAAAAATGCGGAGCCGCCCGCCGCCCTCAAACATACGGACAATATAGGAATTATACACTACCTCCGGGAGGATGAGCCCTGGGCCGCCCTCCACATATTTTAATGGCGTAACCGTAGGTGTTCAATCACGTTTCAACCCTTAAACTTTCGGGTTGCTCCTCCCACAACGGTGTTGGACACAACACCAGTACGTCAGACTGATCTTATAACTCGTCACATTTAAACATCATTCAGCACTCTTCTCATTCTCATCACATCTCATAACCATGCTCATTCACCGCTGACTCCACACTCCAGTCTGCTAGTCTGGACGTCCGCATCTCCGCCGAGGTGCTGAACATCCTTCGGATCGGCCAGCGCCACCGGTTTGCATAAGGCCTCGGTGGGTCGACGGTAGAGTTCTGGGTGCGTCCGGGGCCACCACGCGGGTGGACGTGTCCGGCCTCCCCGCCTTTTCGGGATACATCGTTGCAAACCCAAAGCAACTGGGTCACTGGTTCCTCTGGGAACCAAGAAGCTTAACAAGAAGTCTATCTCCGTGCACTCTTCTATGTTACTTTCTGCAGCAACAAGGACAACCTGTCCTAGAAAGTCGCAGCTAAGACCAAACCTCCACATTTCGGATTTCACACAAGAAAAACACAACTCAAATGGGTGGTGCTGAAGAAAACCGACCAGACACTATATAGTCTGGCTGGTCATTGAACATTTCCCCTCCAAACAGCTCCCTTGTTCCAGGGGCATCTTGTGGATAGCTCACCGGTCTATCCAGCCACGGACAGCGGAGAACGCCGAGCAGCGGAGCGGAGCAACGCCAGGACATGCGCCAGGCGCAGTTCGAAGCCGACGCCTCGAGAGACGTTCGGCCGGTGGGGACGTCCGGGCGATATGTGAGGTGTTTTGACCCGAAAGCTAGAGGGAAGTGCGGTGAATTCGACTTGTTCCAACTTCATCCAACTTCTACAGAGATACTGCTTAGTTTTCTCTCAAGGTAGGAGAACTCATTCAGCTGCAGCATGCTAGCATGCTGCAGCTTGTCTTGGTGGTACCGGAGAGGCCCGCTTTGTGCGCCACATCTTTGTAAGTCCTAATATTCATGGGATAGGCCTACTCTCCTAGCCTGCAGGGACCACACCAACTCCTGTTAGATCCATTTGCTTCTGATTTCTGGGGTCTCCGGAGAATTACGGACCTTAGCATGAATCAAACCTTTGCACCACCCGAGGATTCAAGAGACCCAATCCAAGTGGCCATCAACATTTCCCCACTTCCGATTTCACCAAACCCAGAAACCAAAGTAAAATACTCTGAAGAATGAGTTGTATACAAATGATAAGAAATATACCATCCCCACTACCATGCCCATAGCCTGAGTCACTGTCCCAAACTAGACTCAAGACCAGATCTTCTCCCAGAATTGCTTCAAAGGGCGGCAACTTGGCAGCGTGCCGTCCAAACGCTCTGCGCACATCGCCAGACCTTGCAGTGCCCACGGCCCACGTCCTGCACTACCGGGAAACAGCACCAAGACATCAGAAACGCGAGCAAATACCTAACGGTAAAGCCTGAGCTTTTAGGTGCAAGGTTCCGAAGTGTTTAAACCTGCAAAGGGCTGAGGGAGAAAAGTGAAGCTCGAAATTGATAGTGATGGTTGAGAGGATAACAGAAATTAGAAGATTCTGGAAGGCCTGAAATGATGAGAGAGTTATATACTAATGGAACTAATGGACATTGATGAACACATGCTAATTGCTCCTAGTTGGATTTGCTCCCCAATCACTTGTTTCGACCACCAACCGTGGTTGCCCAGCGAAACAGTGACTGCGTGGCCCAGCGCTCCTCGCAACGCGAAGAAAAGGCCCAAGGTCAGTTGCAGAAAGATCCACCCGCCATCGGTGGAGGACTTGAGGTGTTCCTGAAGAGCAGCACGGACCACAAACTTGGTGAGACAAACTTGAGACACTGCAGCACTTCTCGGTTCTTCCAGTCTTCTCAGTTCTTCAGGCCGTGAACCGAAGAACCCCAAGGCCGCCAAGGCCTTAGCCTCTTTTGCTAAACGATCAATCACAAGGACCCGAGATGTCACAGCAAGAGATATGAATGGTGTTAAAGCCACCTTGGCATCTGTAGTCGATCCATCACAACACGTCCTGCGCAGAGTCCACGATCAACTTCAGGATGTGGTGCTGTGGTTGAACTGCCCAGAACTTCAGCACCTCATTCCAAGTGCTTTGATGCGGTCAACCCATCTGCCATGTTCCTTCATGCTAAAAAAAAAAACAATGCGGTCCATCCAATCTGCCTGTCGCCTGGTTGGTCTCTTTAGTTTGCTCAATCCCACAGGCCACGGTTGCACCGGTTTTGCCCGACCCCCGGGTCGTCTGCCTGTGCACAGCTGCTGGTGACCACGACGGGCGCATGCCGGACGCCCTCCGCTGCGTGCTGCAGCCGCACGCGGCCACAGGGGCCCACGCAGCGTCGGGCACAGCGGAGCAAGCGGTGCAGCTGGGTGAGCTCCTGCAGGGCATAGCGCCAAGCTGACTGACCCAGTGGCTGTGAACTTCACCCTGGTGAACCGGGCGGGAGTTGGGCAGCACGAGCTGCAGCACAAGCTTGAAAGAGTTGAGTACGATGCGTGTCCTGAATTGATCAAAATCCATCTTCCTTCCAGCAACACGGAGAGATCTTGATGTGATGGCATCGGGTAGGTTGGTGACATCATTGGCTGCCGGCTTACTTAGGTTCTTTGGCCTCCAGCTCTGTCTACCTCGAAGTACTGTTTGGAACAGAATGTTTGAGAGGAACCAACACCAGGCTTTACCAACACTAGATAGCTAAAGTCCCCATTCCTGAGCAAAACCAATCCAACTTTCGGTTGCCTACCCATCGGGGCTGCAAATAAAAATGACAACTGCAAAGTTGTAAATACACTGGGTGAAGCCTCGCATTGTCGAAGTACAAATTGTGGTGCTGTGATGTGCTATATCGCCGTGTGATCAGGAGCCATTGGTCAATGTCTTTCAGAAAGAATCAGAGTCAGAAGAATGTATGAATAGTTGCAAATGATACTCGCGAGTATTGTTGATTTAGAACTTAGATGAATTTAGATTCATGAGGATCTGCAAACATTCACAAGTTTGTGGGCTTATGTGCCTAGGACGAGGCTCTTATTGCAGCCTTGGCAACCCATACCAATCCCAGGCTCCTCTTCTTCCATTTCCCCTATCAGGTACCATGGCGCAGAACTGTGGCCGTGCACTGCAAAGAAGCAACAACAAACGACATGCTGTTCTCAGATTGCTGCAAAAGATCCATCTTCACATACCGTGAAATCAGTTGACTTATGAAGTTGGAAACTCCCCAGCCATGTACAAAAACATCAAACTTCCAGGAACACTGCAGAACTTCTCGGTGACTCATGCTGACTCCATGCCAATCAACAGAAGGAACAAGAATTACAGCTGGGTCTGGACCTCTCAATCAGCTGCGTCAATTGCTCAGCGTCTGAGTTACTGGTGCTAAGTCTGTCGCGTACAATGCTTTCTTGTGTAATGTATGCGCTCTGACACGCCAGCCTTTGAACAGAATCGATTCTTCATGCGCAGTTCCACTTCTCCGCGGTCCATTGCAGGGAGATGAGATATTGATAAACTCAGATTACCTTTTCTGGAGCTTAAATTGTTTGGAGGGTCTGTTTAATGTCTTTCAAGGCAAATGTTTTGCGTCTTGATTGGTGCATTAGACAAGAACGCAAACTTTACAGTAGTTTGCAGGATTGTATCCAACGAAAACTGAGACGACACCATGCTTGATGTTGGTTGAGCAACCCCCTGACTGAGGCAGGTCGCCGTCAGTTTCACGTCGAGGTCACCAAAACCCCCGGCGTACCACAAAAGAGGCCAAGAAGTAGATCAAGTAGGCACGAACGTAACTCTCCAACTTCAGCCAAGCACCTGGCAAGTCCCAAATTGCTACGAACTGTGCGATCTGTACGTGTGACGTAAAAAACAAGTGCGCGCTGCACGCTTGTCATTTCACTTGGATCGATCTTACCTATCCCAAGAAGAGCAACCACGAAAACTGAGATGGCAAAATACCATCAGAAAACAACTGCAATGGAAGCGGCAGCTGCTCCACAACCCGAAGTAATGTTAACATCCCAGTGATGAACCATGAGACAATAATAATAAGCTTTTTGGCCTGTCAGGATTTTGCAATACTACTTTTAATTGCGCCAACATCCAGACCCAAAAATGCTTTCAGAATGCGTTCTCTATCTTATTCTTCTGTCTTTTTTATTTTGTATTTTGTTTTTTTTGAATCTTTGCCGATCAGATTTCCAAAAACTGTGGGTAGCCAAAAGCTTTAGGTTTCCTTATTCACACCCTATCAAATAAATACAAACAATTATCTTCAAAGGGTACCCCTTTAGACTCCCACCCCCTGCAATTGTAAACCAACCTACAATAATCAATCCCCCCTCCAGCCCTGCTGGCTTATCCTTGCCTTGTGCTTTCCCTTTTACTTTTAAGTTCTCCTATCTTCTTTCTTTTTATTCTTTTGTGGAATCTTTTGTGGAATGAAAGACCCTCTCCCAAATCCCCTCTGCCAGATGGCCTGGAGGTTTTCTATTGAGGCTGAGAGTTTTGACTACCCCGAGACAAAAATGTTGAATCTTCATAGGGGGGTTTACTATTGAGATGTTAATACACGTACTTCAGAAAAGGAAAGGAACTACAATTATGTTGTCCCAAACCAGGTAACCTGGATCCTCTACAGCATTCCATAGGCCTATCTCAACTGGCACACTTTCTGGTCACACTGAGGTTTGGAGACCCACACGCCCCAGAGACCTTATTGGAGACCCACGACCCGCCGCGGTGTCCGGTTCTTCCCAAACGGACCCACCGGTGGACTCGGTCCAAGTCCGAGCTCCCCGGCCGAGCATGGCGGCGAAGGTCACGGGGACACCCATCAAGGCGAACATCGTCACGAGCCTGGCGGACGGCGCACACATGCTGCCCAGCCCAGATGTTCTTCTCATGTCGGTGTTGATCTGGAAAAAACAGGGCAAAAAGCTTTGGATCCAGCTGTTCGATGTCTGTCTGGGTCCAACTCCTAGCACCGTTGCAGCTATTTCTTGCTTGAGAAGATCCTGCGCAACAAACCAATATCAAGATTCCTAAGATTTACAACGATGTTGTCTATCTCTATCCGATAGATCACACAAAGAATTTCTTGTGAATTCCACAAAGACTGTGATTGTCACGGACCAAACAAAACGTGCTGCGGCTGGCAGGAGGCCCTCTGGACTCCAAACACTTCCATAGGTCTCCTGCACAGCAGCACTCACTTCGTTGTCAGCTGCAGCTGAGCCAGTCACTCGATTCTGTCTCGTTTGTCAACCGGGGCACGGTCGGTCGGAATTTGCCCCCGTCAGTCCATGTGGAAGATGAAGTGAAGGATCGAGTTCACCACAACGGCCTCAAATGACAACAGTGGTGGCTCTATGTGTTATATAACTATGTCACATGTCACCTCGCTTTATGGTTATGACATGACCTCGCTTGGCATACCATGCTACTGTTACTGAAGCAACGGTGTGAAAAAAAAACACGTTTGTCACAAGGTGAAAGAAATGCAGAAACAACACGATGGATGTCCGCTCGCCGCTCTGATACCTGGAGACAAAATAAGATTCATCTGCATTGAAGTGAGTATGGAATATGATGCTGCTCAGCAAGAAAAAGGTTCCAGGATCCTTGACAACGTGTAGTAAACGTGGATTATGAGTGCGACATTGAGATTAGTTTATCCCTATACCCCATACCAGGACAACATGTGACGCACAAATTCCATAGTTGGTTGGTTCCAAAATCTACTATATAGTAGTGGTGTTACCACCATGACGTAAAGGCAGCTGTTCAGCTCACCTCAAGGAGATACAAACTTGGGAGTAAACCTACTCGCTCTAGAACTTGGTTGGTCCACGTCTACTGGACCTATGAGGCTCTAAGCAGCTCCAGCAACCCCAAAAGCCGAGGCGTTAAAGAACGTCTGTAGATGCCAATCTCGCACCCAGCGGACTCGCACCCAGCGGACGATTTCAAAGCCAGCGCACCACACATGCCAGAAAGTGGATGATGGCAACAAAGCTCGTACCTCCACGACAGTCAACACGAAAAGAAGTCCCAAAAAAGAAAACGTTGATTCACCAGTCAGTGCTATGGCAAGAAAATTGTTTAGAGTAATGAGTAATGAGATATTGATGGATCGATATTGGATAGTATTGGTTAATACTTGTTATTTAGTTCCATGATGCTAATAATATGTATTAAGGTTCTGTTTTTTGGTTATAAAAAGTGTAAAGCGTGCTTCCCCTAAAAAGGATCATGTTTTGATATGTTTTGGCTGTTCAATTGGTTTTCCAATGATTCAAGAACATCCTTCACATGTGACCAAACGAAGGAGGCCACATCTCTTTCACCACTTGCGCCTGTGCAGACACCACAGCAGCAACAGGAGCTCAAAGGGCTCAACGATGAAAACATGGCTCTCGAGCCTGGCATGAGCGAAACGCCGGTTGCTCAACCGGTTTCTTTGAATCCTCAAGGAGCCTGGGACCCACAATCCCCCTGCAAGGGAGATTTACGCGAAAACAAACATATAACTTTGCCACGTTTCTGTGCTGGTTGGGGGGCTGTTCAAATCTGTTCAGAGTCTCCGCTCAGCCGCGCACCACAAATATGTTTCGTGGAAATCCTGTTGTACAATGGCCAGCATCAAGACGTCTGTTTTCATTATTAAATTCATACAGTCAGTATATAATTCGTGTCTGTATGGGTACCTCTCTTTCCCCATGACGAAAGAGCATGTGGAACCCAGGCCTCCGCGCCACGAGGCTACGACGCGCGACCAGCCTACGCTACCGGGTAACGCACAGCCCCGCACGGTTCGGGACTGCCTTGAGCCATGTTGACGTCAATGCAACCAAGCCATCTCTGCGCATCTCAGGATGCCAAAAAAGTCCTGCAACCTCTGGACCCCATATGTAGCAATCCCAATGTATATTCATATGCAATGGAGAGCATTGCCCATCTCAACGGTCAACATGGTGACATGTACGTCGTGTACGTGAATTCTATCACGCAAGGACGGGCGCTGTCTTGCTCGCGACACCTCGGTCTAGTGATGCAGATCCCAAGACACATAGAAAAGTAAATCCTCTTTTGAAACCGTATTGGAAATTGAAACCGTTTCTCTTCTGTAAGTATAGTATTCATGAGTTGCGGTTGGTTGTTTGGGATTGCCTCCTGGTCTGTTGTGTTGCATCTTGAATAGCTGCAAGTCCATGGAAGCATGTAAAGGAATTATGGGATCGGAGCAGGGACTAAATGTCACAAACCTACATTGACATATATATATATAGAGATATTGAAAATGATTGAAATAGGAGGAAATCCATCAAAGTGACACCTACTCCTTGCCTACCAAATGGTTGAAGTATGTTGAAGTGGGCTCCCCCCAAGTCTTTCAAACACACCGACGTAGTTGTTTACAGAATCTCCTTTCAGGAAAGGCAAATTTTCAGGAACTTCATTGCGTCGTTCCGCTCTATCTGGAGATTCGCACCACCCATTGGCGGCAAGTGAAACTTGAGTCTCCTTGACACATGCCCCAAATTTGCCAGCACCATTGACGTTGGATGGTCAAAAACTAGTAGTGACTTGATTTACCTCTAAACTCTCAGATCTCCAGTATATACCTGGTTGAAGGGACTGTCAAACTGTAGGTTCATAAACCCTGAGCAGTTCTTTGACCTCCAACAAGTACAGAAGGATCAGAAGGATCCCTTCAGTGGCAAAGTTTGAGTTTTGGATCGTTCAGCGACGAATGAGAAGTTCGATAAGTTTTCCGGACGTTTAGCTTTCGCGTTTATGAAGCACGTTGAAAATGGACAATGCTCTCTCACATGTCCCTTTAAATTGTAACTGTTGCACCAACTTTTGATATAACATCTCGCAGCCCAAGCTCCAGGTCGTCCGGAAAACCCTCACACCCTTCAGCTCAGCGCACATCTGATCCTGGCCATCTGGTGAGATGTGGATATGCAAGTCACGGCAGCTGAAGATTCATAGTATCCTACATCGCTTGCCAGAACCCTTTAGTACATGCCATCTTCCTATTTTCTTAGGTTGCAAAAGAACAAATGAAACAACTAAAATCAACTAAAACTCTGAGGTACTTTGAGTGTGTCAGGTCCAAGTGGTTTGCAGGCTGCACCAAATGGCTTCAAATTGAAGAGAGGCAGTGGGGCAGTTGGCGTTTAAACGCTTTGTCATCCACTTCCCTTCTGGTGCATGTGTGTGTGGCCAAACAAGGCCAGGCTTGGGGTCAGTGGTGACATAACCCAGGCAGCGGTGATGATTTGCACGGTTGGCTTTGTGCCCAATTGAGGTCGTCTGCACGCAAGCGGCCCTGCGGCCACCCTTCCATGCCTGCAGCACCTCTGGTTGGCCTGTCTATACAGCCCAGGTTGCCAGGCGCACGCAAGTGGCAAAAACCACCGTTCCATGCCTGCCCTCGCGATCCCGAGCAAGTGAAAAGCATCTGTACAAATGAGTCTGTGGCAATACCAAAAGGCCTTAAAACATCTAAAAAAAGACTGTATGTTGTTTCAACCAAAGAAGAAGCCTCGAGTTTCGGCGCAGACTCAAACACTGTTAAACGTGTCAGTGTTCATCAGCTTGCCTCCTGATGTGCTTCTGTTGTTTCAAGCGAGCAGTGTCATGTTGTATACACACTCCTGCCCACACAGTGGGGAAAAAAGGGAGAGACAAAACAAACTTGGAAGCTCAACACATCAGAAGGCAACACAGCCCAAAACTGCCCTGCACAAAGGGTAGAACATGCTTCACGCTCCTAGATCTGGCGCCACACGCGTGGATTCACCGGCAGCTGGCTGTCGCTTGCTGTAGCTCTGCTCCTTGGGGTGATCATAGGTTCTTCAGCCTCAGGGAGTAAATGTATATGAATAGCATTGAATAGCCTGAACATCATATTGAGATTCTATTGAACCTAAAAGGTGTGCGATGCTTTGCACTTCCGACAGAAAGGTGTCTTCATGGTGCATGGGCTCCGATTTTGGAATATACAAGGAATGCATAGGAATGCTACAACAATACCGAGTAGTGCAATGTTTGTCCTTGATTGATGTCTTGGTTCTTCAAGCAATGCGTTTTTTCTGGACTCAATCTGGGTTGCACGTGGTTGCACTGTTCTTGGGTGTGCATGGCTTCAATGATGCCACCTGCTCTGATTGTCCCTGTTTCCCGACCTCATGGAGAAAGGTGCGTGTCTCGTTCAGGTGGGGAATCGGCAGGTAGAGGGCCTTCTCACGCACTCCCTGGAGCCATGCAGAGTTGTAGTTGATGTGGTCACTGCCAGCCGAATGCAGAGTCGTAGTTGATGCAGAGTCATAGATGATCGGCAACGAGGAGGAACTGGCTCCGACACCTGGAATTTGGAAGCGTCGACCTCAGGGTTTGGCACCGATACAGGCTCGGAGCCTGCCTTCAAGCGAGGCCGTGAGGAGCCAGGGATCTCAGCCACAATCCCGAGGATGTCGTCCACCTTGTTGGCTGGGGCAACTACATGATATGCTTTCAATTGCAGCAAGCTCTGCGGCAAGTCGGCCTCTCTAATGGCTCTATGCCAGACCGCTTCGTCGAGACCCATGACCATGATTTTGGCTCCATTCGCCCATGGAGGCTGAATCTCATGCTGAGAGGCTGCCAAGCGCCTTCCCAAGTCGCTCCTCTTCAAGGCTGCGTCCATGCTGGCAGGATGCCGATTGAACGTCAACAGAACTGCTAGTTCACTTGAAGAGGGCATTGGCTGCGCCTGCAGTGATGAGACCCACAAAGCACCCGTGCACTCAGAACTGAAGGACTCATCGATGGTCTTTGCAGGCTCTTGGTGGTGAACCTCCTGGATGACGTCGATGGCTTCTGAGGCTGCAGGAAAGCCAAGCCCTGCAGCAAACTCCGCGGATTTTTCCCACAGATCATGCAGCTGTTGCTCTGTCACGGTTTGATCTGCCTCAATAAACTGACTCCAGATCTTGAGGCAGACGTACCAGACCCTTCCAAAATCATAAATTGTGAAGCTGGTATGATCATGATCACGCCAGGGCCGCCAGCACACCAATGATGGTCCTGCCCCTTGTGCCCAACCAAATTTCTGAAAGTGGCCATCACGATGGCGGCTGGTCATTCGAAGAATACTTGAGAGGTTACAGTCCCTGTCCAGACTCAGAATAGAAGCCTCCAAGTTGCAAACGGTGACACAGCGACACACACACACACAAGGGCCTCCCCAACTCTGCCATGAAGGGGCACTGACCACGCGGGTCATCGTCAACATATAAAAGCTCCTCTGGAACCATTACTGGTGCCACTACTGGTGCCACATCACCACAAAAATCCGTGTGCCAACTTTCCGGGTGTAATGTCACGGCATTTGGAGGTAGGTGACCCACCTCGCCGTCTGCAAAAACACGCAAAGCCAATGTTCTTGCCTGGACTCTACGAAGGTTGAGTTTTGAGAGGGATGTCTCTCTCACCCTAACGTCACAAACACCCAAAGGCATCGTCTCTAGGTGCCGCAACCCATGGATTTGAACCTCATATCGCGATGGCTTGGAAGGTAAAGGTCGAATCACTTGCCCCAACTTGCCGTTGTACTCTGCAAACTTAAGCGCCTTCAGCTCTCCAATGACAACCCAGTCTCCAGACTGGAACGTCAAGGAGTCTGAATTCTTCAGCCAACCCCTGACCACCTCTTCAAGCTTTCGTGAGCAAGAAGCAAGACGCAACCATGTCCCTGGAAAGCACATATCTAGCGCTGTGCACCAGAACGTATGAGGAACATGTAGGAGGGTCGGTGGCCTTTCGGAGGGAGCCATGGCCGCAGCTGCCATTCTCTCGAGCCAACTCCTTCTGGATTGCTCTGTTTAAGACAAAGAGAACTATAAGAAAGAACATATGAAAAGATACGCCAAATGACAGCAGCCTTGCGATAAACACCAAATACACATAGTATATATAATTTTCTATAATGAATTAAAGTGATGTACTATCTTGATGTACTATGATGCCCTGCATAATTCAAAAGATTCAATTTCCATGATCTTTGCACCACCCACACATCATCCTTGCCGCCCTTCAAAGGCCAGCCAATCGACAGGCTTCAACAATGCCCCAGGGCACGGTTTCCGATCGATCGAAGTGGGCGCGCTGCGCCATCAACCTGAGCGGGTTGAATTGGTGGCACTGGCTGGGGTACGGCACAAAGTCACTGGTCTGATGGAATAGATGTGATCCCTTGTGCTGCGAGTCGGTATTCCCAAGAAGTTTCTGTGTGATGGCTGAAGATATTCATTTTATTTCACACGCTCATTTCCATAGAACCGGTAAGTGAATCTGTAAGTTAATGAAAATTCATGTTTTGCGTATCAACGACGGACGGCTTGCTGCACCTGCCAGTTGCGATGAAGCTGCAGGAATCCCATCTATATAGAGGATCCTGTCTTACAGCAGCCCAAGATGCGACATAAGCAAAGTCGTTGTCAAGCGACTCATTTCAAGGCTCTGTATGGCTTCAACACCAACAAGCTCTTATGAACTATAGTTTCAGTGATATCAGTCATACTTCCACTTCATCCAAATCAAAAGCCTGATCAAATGGAGCACAGCATATCCATATCCTTCTGCACATGAGACATATTTAGTCATATTTATTGGTGAACCTCCTTGAGTGAGGCCTTGCCCTAAAGAATATGACCAGCGACTTCGCCGGATCCCAGATTCTTGTGATCGGATCCCGGCCCTCTGAGGACCGGAAGATCTAGATCCGCGTCCGAGAGCGTCAGAGCATCCGAACGCGCGAGGAAAATCAGGGTCTTGGACCACAGGAAAGATGCGTCTTGTGAATTCGAAGAAATGGAATCCTGCATCGGTTCTGCTGAGTCGTTGGCTGGGCTGGTGGAGTTGAATTTCAGTGGATCATTATGCCATATTGATTCGTGCATGTTGAAAAGCCCCGGATTCATTCTCCAGGGCTTCAAAAGGCAAACATGGATTCCACTGTTCAGCTTTCAGTCACTAGGCTTCCAAGCTGATGACCTGGAGTGCATTATCACGACCGCCAAAGCAAGGCGACACTGCCAACCACCCAAGCTTTGAGCATCCACTTGCCCCTACAAGAAACCTGTAAACACATCTAGGTTTACTTCTAGGATGAACGTGGTTTGAAGTATATGTAGCTTTTGTATATACACAAACTCATTTGGATGAACGAGCCCAGCCGTGCCCAACCCTCCGGGAGCCACGGAACCATTCTCAACTTCCACTGGGCGATCCTCCACAGTGGGTCGATTGTCCATGATGATTGTAGGCAACCAAGGTGAACTATAGCTGTAGGTTTGACTCTGAAACTTTTATGTGTGGCTGTGGCATGGAGCCGACTGGATCACATGGATACTTTTTGAATATGGCATCAGGACATCCATGGATGCAAACCAGGGGTTTCAGTATATTAGACCATACCAGCGAGTACAATAAACAATGGACTTGTCCATACATGTCCACAAGATGTTCCCTCTAAGCCTCAATTCTGCACTTCGACTCCAACTCAAGCCCTTTTGGGACCCCATCTCGTCCATCCGTGGTCTGGGCTGTCCGCACACCGCGGAAGGGCACTTAGGATTCTTCTCCTTGACGCGCCTAGAGGTCATCGCTATGGTCTTGGAATTCATGTTTTACTTGCTCGAATATGTTGCATGTGTACATATTTCACTGATTGTTGCATTATCCTTCTTGTCCTTGCTGTTCTGACAAGAATCCAAATTCTTTCTCTCTTGCCGCAAATCTATCAGCATGACTCCATGACTCAGCAGTGGCATTCTGCTGACCTTGCCTGTTCTCTTGGCAAATTTATATAAGTCTCCAGCTTGCAGGCCAACGAATTGTTGATGTCAATCTCAATTGGGGGTATCTCTCAGGTTAGAACACCTTCCAAAGTACAATGTGGGGTGCCTCAGGCGCCTCGACATCACTCTGTGCAGTTCAATCAAACAACCCCTCATTGTGTTGCTTCCAGGCTCTTTTATCCCAGTTGAAGCGCTGCCCGACACTCGATCCTTGCGGTCGACTTCCGGCATTTCTGCTCTCCTCACGCAGGAGTGAAGGCTGAGAGTGGACGGCATGGACTGAACTGTCTTTCCGGTGGAGGCGTGGACTCGACCTTGCACCAATCCCATTGGTTAGTTGGCAGTTGGAGAGCCATCCAGGGCAAGCTGGAAAAAACCAGCAAGTCTTGCTTTCACGCGGAACTGACGAGTTTGTGTGGGAACAAAGAAAGTGTTTAGGTTCGATCCAACGGTTCTCCATTTGATTAAACATCATTTATGGGTTAGTTCTGCTTCGTCATCTTCCCAACATTTTGACATGAGAAAGGAAAGAGGGTATCTTGGCTGCGATGAACTCCTCACAGTGTCCACACTTCCCCCCTCCCCTCGCCTCTCCAATAATAGAGGCGCGCGTTCCACGCGCCTCACTGTGTTCCAATCGATGCGGAAAAACCTGGCGCAAAGCCGCAGGCATCTTTGAGGGTCGAGGAGATTGGTGAGTGAGTGATCATCTGAAGAATGATGGCCAGCACCCCCCAGCGATTGGATCGGGGTATTAGCATTCAATTCATGACACCCCAAAGCAAGAAGCCAATCTGACCTTCTGGGAAAATCGGAGCCTTCAAAGAGAACATGAAAGCTGGCAGACCATGGGGAAATGCATCAGAGAGCTGCAAAAGCCTTCCAAGTAGGAAAAGCCTGGTGTGTCCCTCTGAGTAGAGTTCATCCCAAGCACCTATGACTTGGATTGACTTGGTTGGTGGGACAGTCCTCAATATCTTCAAATGCCCAAACATACATTCAAATAGGTGTATTATTTTCCTGACATGCTCAAAAAAGCATGCGCACATGAAGCTACCCTCACACTTGTGACAGTGGCAAACCAACCCAAAGTGCGAAAGGAGGCGCTAGCATGTCGCTCAACACTCGCCTTCCGATCAACTTGAGACCCTCTGGGCTACCAGGCACCGCGGACAAGACCCACGTCGCAGCTATTGCAAGAGCCGTGGCATTCCTGGGAATGGAGAAAATGACATACACTTCTGAAAGCATCAAAGATTCAAAAGATCCAAGGAAGTCTCCGCATGTCCGTCTGCGCAAGAAACAAGGCATGTTGAAAGGATCGTGCACGTTGTGTCAAATCATTGTCCTTCCTTCAGCGAATTGGTTGACTGACTTCGATCTGAATCGTGAGCCAATCCATTCATTTAGGGCAAGTCGCCCAAACCAAACTCCAAGCAAAGGAGTAGGCCAGTGCCAGTAGCAGCCCAGTAGGGCACCCAATGGCAGTCCAACCACCTTGGAGGCCGCCATTCAGGCTGAGGCAAAGTGAAGTGGAAGAGGCTCAGACATGACTCGTATGACTGAATGCGGAGCATGGCACCTGTTACTACGCCAGCGGGTAAACCCCCCGTTTTGTAGCTTTAACTTCAACAGGTTGCAACATTAACAGAGGGCTCTCTGCAGACCATTCCAGACTTCACCCCCTGTGTATCAAAGGCAGTGCTCATATTTGGTGATTACGAATTACACTTGGGGAATCCTAACGACATCTAACGACATTGATTGGGATGACTTGAAGCGATTACCAAAGTACATCGACCAAACATGCCCAACACCCACCTCTTCACAGCTAGAGGCAAATTCATACATGTTGCATCAGTGTGGTCTAATTGAACCTCAAAAACAAAAAAAATCCTCCCTGTGGATTGCTTCTTAAATTTTTTATATAACATCTTGCGAATCTCCGTCTATGATAGTCTTGTTGAAGCTAACGGCTTTCCTTCCGTTCACATCCTGAGCTCAGGGACCCAATAGCCAATCAGCGTTCCAAGGATGCCAGGCCTGGGTTTCCGTGGAAGAACCTCCCTGGTGCCTCTGATGAAAACCCGGTGAAAATCCCCCATGCTCGCATACAGGTAAGGTCTGGTCGTGTGTTGTCATCCCCACTGAAAGGGTTCACCATTGAAAGAAATCATTGCAGAAGATTACAGAATATACAAACACTTTATGTTTTGGGTTTGGAAGATATTGATGATGATGGGAAGGGTTCCGGAACACCAAACATGATGCACAGTTCGCCCATCATGAGATACACTCGCACTGCTGGAGCCGGTGGAGCACGAGTTGCTCCATACACAGCGCAAGGACCATGACACCTTTCACTGTCTTCTCACATTGCTGTTATATTATGCTTACATGTTTCTGTTAACATGATTGCGGATGCATTGGACATGCAACACATGGGTGTTTTGCATGGCAAACCAAATGAACTCTGCACCTTTTAAAGAGTCTCGAAAAACGCCACGCCTGATCCTTATGCGGAACAAGGCCGATTCTCAGGGGGCACTGGCGCCCGTCCCAGGCAGGTCACTATGGTCGTCACTGCGACCCTTGACGTCGAAACAACACCCTTGGTGCCTCACAACCCCCGAGTGCCCTGAGCTGCCCAGCCTCTGAAAATTGGCACCGCGTAAAGCTCCTGATATCTCGGGGTCTCTCGCGCGCTAAAGTCAACTAGAATCATACAAGGAAGTACCATGTGCATACATCACGTGTAGGTCTTTCAACAGGAGGGTCACAAAGCTCCACCATGCTTGCACGATCTTAAATGCAAACTAGGATTTTGTGCAACAGGACGACGCCGGCCAAGCAGGACGATGCTGGGGATCTTCAACACCCTGGATGCGATTGTGCTTGACCATTTGACCTTCGACGTCGGAGCATCTGCCGAGACACCGTAGAAGGTCATCAGCTGGGCGTAGCCTCGATCCAAAGACGGCGCAAAGCGGTGCAAAGAGGCGAGCGAGGTGTTGGTCCCGTTTATTGTAGTTGTCTATAGTTACTATCTGTCTGTCATCCACGGCCCGTTCTTCGCAGGTCATTTGTTTGTGCGGTAGGAACATAGACTCCACTGGGGATTTGATTTGTTGGTTCTACACAAATTTAGTAACATAACAACAAAAATGGACAGAGATGAAACTAGCCATCCAAATGCCCAGCCCAGAATGCGCCCACCTGCTTGCAATTTCCCGGACCAGCTTACCTACATTCATGATTCATACACCCAGCCATGGACCACCTCAGAGCCCCACCACCTCAAAATATGGGTGGACCCCAACTTCAGAATATTATTCCTGACAGTGTGAAGTGGGCTCAAATAATTTACGACCATCAGCAGTGAAGAGGTGGCAAAGGTGATCTAGGGATATATTGGTTTAAAGTTAGTACGTAGTAAAAGTAAAGTAAAATACCAATGAAAAGGAATCCTCAAAACGACCCCCAAATGGATGCCAAGTACATCCCCTTACTAAACAGTTTGTTCTTGTTTAGTTTACTACGTTACTTCTTCTTCTTCTCTTCTTTTTATCATTTTTCGGTTAGCTAGCTACTTGTTCTACACTTTTGGGGTTCTTTAGCAAGTGGCCTGGGTTCACCTTTTGAAGCTCAAAAAAGGCTCTTCCAGGCCACTTGTCTTTTGCTAAAGAAAAAGTGTAGCAACTAGCTACTTTTTCTAAACTTTTTCTCCTAGATTTGGTGGTCAGTTTCATTCCTGTCATTCCTTTTTATCCAGTTTCAGGGTTTGAAAGGACGTGTGTGTTTAACATTGAGGATTTCCCAGAAAGTTCTCTGATTCTGGCCTGTGCTTCCAGGTGCTATTTACCACTCACCCACACCACAAAAACTAGTTTGTGGGTGGGTGAGTAGTTAATGACCTTTCAAAAATGGATGAGGGGTTTTAGACAGTTGTAGTAAAATTCATTCATCTCCTGTCTTTTCTGGTTGAAAATGCTAGGGTGTCCAGGATATATTTAATGTCATTTTTGCTGGTCCTTCACCACTCACCCACCCCCAAAATAGTTATTTTGGTGGTGGGTAAGTGGGAAATAGCACCTGGAACCACAGGCAAGGGCCAGAAAACTTCTTGGAATTAATTTACTGGATAATGCTTACATGTTACACCACAGGTCCTTTAAACACTGAATTCCCCTGACTTTGGGGGGCTTTAGTAACATTGTTTTGATTGAGAACCAGGACAGCAACATCTATTAGTTCCACATTTTGTAGTTTGGTGGTCAACTTCCTGTTTGAGGAAATTCCAGGTCCATTTCCCATTCACCCACCACCAAAATAGTTATTTTGGGGGTGGGTGAGTGGTGAAGGACCAGCAAAAATGACATGAACTATGTCCTGGAAACCCTTGCATTTTCAACAAGAAAAGGCAGGACATAAATGAATCTGACCACCAAGCTATCCAAAAACTATATTTTAATTTGTGATCGTCATTCACTACTCACCCATCCCCCAAATAATTCTCAGATTTCAAGTGAAACGCATCTCCAGCATCAAATTTGCATCAGAATCCATGATTCGATACAATAAACTATTTGACTGGGTGGTTGAGTAGTTGAGTACTGCATCCACTCGCGATGTTGGAAATTATTTCGGGTGGTTTGAGTGAAAGCCAATAATTATTTCGCGACCACCCCATACCCACCCAGCTCAAATAATAGGCGTCCTTTTTTATTTGGCCAAAATTCTTTGGCAGAGTGACTCCACCTCTCAAATAATTGCACAAGGTTGGGAGTATCATGATTCAACCAAAAAGTGTCCCCTGGTCGAGTGAGATTCTCTCCAAGTGGCAGGGGACGCTCAATACGAGGCCCATGGAGCTGTCTTCCAGCAATTCTTGAACTTGCAAGTCCTCCAGAAACTTCCACTTCCACTTTTTAAACACAAGACTTCATATACTTATGGGTCTGGTTAGTGGATTGAAAGGCCCTGAAAGTCCCCTGCGGGGGGGAAAACAACATGTGGCACAACAAGACCCACATCCACTAGAGAGGATACAGGCTTTCCAACGAGATGCGGAAGGATGATACATAACTCGACTGAGAGGCCTGTTCATTAGCTATAGAATAGCACGCCTCTCACAACATTCTTCAGAACCAAGCCCAAATGAAAGCCTACAATGCAACAAGAATGCAGGACAAATCCTGATCTTACAGTCAGTGGATGTCAGTTAAAAAGAACTTCAACACCCTTCAGCAAAAAAGCCATTTAGCTCGAGAAGCCTTGAGAGAAGCCATGCTTCAGCTATTCGGTTCTTTCAGACACCCTCCTCGGTAAAGAGTCGAGCAAAGCTGGACTTCAAGAGCTCATAGCCCAAAGCCACCAGCAAGGAGGTCGCCTCGGTCCGGGTCCCTACAGTCCGCCCCTCCATGTTGTTGTCGCCCTCAAAAACAGGTAAGCGGTAAGCCTGAAACTCTAGGACATGGTACAGGTTGGAGGATGTTGGAGGAAGGGTTATTCCAAGTACCAGAATGTGTTTAGTTTATTTCTTGGCTCGGCCGGCTCGGCCCTCTTTGTTGTGTTGTGGTTGAAGGCAGCAGCTCCATCCCTGCGGAGGCTCTGAGGGCATCCGTCCATTGCTTGGAACTCTGGAGCTGAGCCGAGAAACCAAGCTGAACAGGCCCGAGGTATACAGCAAGGGCCGAATCCGAGAGTTCTCCTCATTACGCAATCGAGCCGGGTGCGGTCGAAACGGTCATAGCGGGTGTGGCTACACATGGTTACACCATGTTACACACAGGAACCCAGAACCGCCAGTGGTTGGGGACCGCTGACCAAGCTGGAGAAAGTTAAGTGTAGGTGTGCTGCAAAATGGTGCAAGTGGCCGAAGCAGCTAGGCCTTGCTGTACAACAGTCATGAACTCAATGCATCCCGGCCATATCCGGCCTACAAGCGTGCAATCCTGCCATTTCCTAATGACGGTGCGAACGCATCGGTGGACGTGGTCGGGTCCTCTGCACCCAATGCATTGCCAACCAACGTGCACACAGCGATGCAAGTACCTGAGCAATGCATGTGATGCCAACCGCATGTCAGTACCCATGCATCCAACACTCTGGAGACATGTGATCAAACCACGAGGTGAAGCAGAAACTGAACAAATAAGGCATGCGGCATGATGGCCTGCCACGGCAACGTGGACCTTGACCATGGATGACCATGGAATATGTTTATAGCAAGCGGTGATTTGGGGTGTTGATGGTCGTCCGCCTGCTCTGGTGTCAACGCTGAACCAAGCACCGGCAACTGCTGAGCAGCGGACTGGTCCAGGACATGTAGAAGACCACAATGATGTTGAACCTCAACAGTCACCCGGAGCGGGAAGCAATAGGAAGCTGAGTGGATTGGATGAGGCCTTTACTAGACCAAGGTCCTAAGAAGGGTACTTTACAGCTTGGTTCTCTCTACCTACATATCTCTACATGCATATATCCTGCAATCAACACCTTCCATGAACCTCCCAGTCCAAGCTGCTGACAGGGACTCAAAGAAAACGTTGGCAGCATTGTGTATAAGGGGGATGATTCTGTGTTCCAATATATCGGCGCAAAGCACTGCTACCTAGAGCCATAGCCTCACCTGAGCCTCGTCAAGCGTTGCCACATGTCGCAAAGAAAGCACTGCTGAAAACACTGCTGCATCACTGGGTATATACGGGGCGGTCAAAGAGCACGCTTGCTCGGATGTTGGTTCAATGACTATGCTAATTCGGTGCTTTAGGGACACTGACACTTCAAAGTAAAATCAGACTTCTTCCCAGCTCTGTTCAGCTAGTAGGGACCTCCCACTTCCCCAGCGAACCCTCGCACGCAGCCAATACTGCCAGCAAACATGGTGCCATGAGCTGCAAGATTCATTTCAGCATTGGGCGTCCGCCCCACCAACAGCGAGAGGACCTGGCGTCCGACCAAGTGCCATGGTAGCTGAACAAGGAATCGCCAATTGGATGGCAAGCCACACAGAACTATAGGAAGGCGGGTGGCTTATCCAATGTAGGTTATCCAGCAAACGTTGTTTCGCAAAGCTCCGACATCTCAATTTGTTCACTTGCATTAACGGATGGACGACTCCCATGTAGTCGCATGCATGGCGCTTGTACAAACCAAGCCACCAAAAAACAAAATGCGGTGCTTTTGCCAAAGCGTTGTGAAAGTGAGACCACAAGAATGGGAAAACATTTTGCTGGTTGGCCGTGCTGAACGCTCTTTTACTCATGGAACAACCAAATCAAGAAAGAATAATACAGTACTCCCCTTATTGGTAGAACTATTCCATCGTATCATGGGATGGGACCACAAAAAACTCCCATCTTCTGCAACAAACAAACAAACAAACTTAATTTACAATGAAAGCAAGACAATGATCTGTAGACTCTATCAATCGAAACGAACCCAGAAACATACAACCAAATATACGTCCCAGTTATATATTGTATACAACATATAGTGATGGTGTCCAAATCTATTGAGCTCTACTGGTGGCATGGTCCACCTCTTCAGCTCCCTCGAAACCGCCACACCCGCCCGAAACCGCCTCGAAGGCCCACCACTCGGACCACACGACCAGCGCCGCGGGCACCGAGACCGCCAGGTAGCTGCGGAACGCATGCGCCTCGGTAGCAGCGGCCGAGCAGAGCCGGTAGCGGTCGCCCTGTAGAGGGTTCAAATGGATGGAGGGGCAGCATGGAGGAGCATCAAACATCACGAAACAACATGGTGATTGCTTTTTTGGCTTTTCGACATGCTAAGCAAATGGATTATTCATATCACATATCCGACATATCCATTCTCCTACACTCCCATGAATTATATATATATACAAAGATTGGCTTGGATCAGCCCTCAGGTTCCACACTTAGGGTCAAAACTCTACCTTTTAAACAGTCCTCTTGGAGTGAAACCACCCACCAAACCAACCAATCCTATTTCTCTGTGGAGACCGTGCTTTTCTCCCCAATGGTCTCCAAAACCTCATCAAAACCCCGATCGACCGTCACTCCGCCTTCATCACCGGCTCCGAGTTGGGCTGACATCGCCAGACGTAGCACTGGAGGCCGCGGTAGCGGATCACCGATAAGAGGACCATGCAAGAAATCACGCCGCCTGGCGCCGGACGCGCGTGGCGATGTCCCGTTCATTGGAGTTCAAACTGAGAAGGAACAGTGATACAAGTGTGGTGATTCCAAGATATTCCAAGTCTTCCGGGTAGTTTTCTTGGAGAAACTCAAGATCATACAAGTACACCTGGAAGTACATGAGTATATACATGATATCACACTCTTCAGCCCTCACAGCAAAGTCAAATCAGCTCTCCATGAATCGAGGTAACCAGTCGTCTCACAACAGCCCAAAGCTCAGTTGAAACCTGAAAGAGTCATGAGGTCATATCCTAAGATAATTCTAGAAGGATCTATAGAAGGAGTGGTCATGGAGAGGGATCCACCGTGATAGACCGGGGTGTCCTTCTGAAATGCACAGACCCACGCACCAAACATCACTCCGTGCGCATTCGATCCCTTCCCACCTACTGATCTGGCCAATGCATTACCTGCATAGCCCAGATTCAGAAGACGCGGATGCATGAAAACGAAGCCTCAGCCGATGTGCAGTGAAGATTGGGGAGGCGGAAAGCCCACGATCATCGTGGGGGCCAGACTATCCGCCAGCACGCATCTGAACGTCCGGCATGCATGTTTAGAGGATGTTAAAGGTCATTTGCATGCAATATGCTCCAACACCGCATCATGCTGGGCCGAGGAACAAAGAAGAACTTGCATCGGCGAGCTAATCAAATTCCTTGGCTAAGGCAAAACAAAATGGCATGATGAATTGTAAAACAAAATATTTGCAGGACATTGTTACTATTTTTGCAAGTTGCCTATTCAGATTTGGTGAGTGTCCTCATGTTTATTTATTTGTGTTTATACCCAATCAAAGCAAACCACATGTTTTTTTTCCATATACTGTACCTCACATAACGAGAAGCACCGGTCCATACTTCATCCAACGTTTTCAACTACGATCGCTGCCAGTCCGGACAAAGGCGAGTAGCATTCACGACAACGCATGTAAAGTAACTATATATACATGCAATTTATATTGAAAATTCTGAGCATGCAAGCCAGTGTGAGTTGAACATAGTTGTTTTGAGGGCGCTATTCAATTATTCTGGGATCACAGAACTATCGAACAAATTCAAACGTTCTGTCAAAGGGGGCTTAATCCTGTACACGACAACGGTTGGCGGAACGGCCGGGAAGTACACATGCCACTTGTAACTGGGCTATTGCATTCTTGGTTTCGTACCAACCTCGATTTCTTCAACCGTCGGAATCAACTCCATGGAACTTCGAATTTGCAAGCTGCAAAAACTGTCGCTCCAATACTCCGCATGAGTTCATTCCCAACCTCCATGGTATAAAACGGCAAAGCTGCATGATGAGGCTGGGCATGGTATACTTTGCAGAGTTCAGGGCCACTGTGGCCGCATTGGCTAGCCAATAGAAGGGCACGCCCAGGAGCCTTGGGGCGGCCGCGCACTCAGTTCTGAGTCTTCACGTTCTTGGATGGATTGGGAAGCCCATGCTGAAGGGTTGAGGTTGGGAAACCAAGTTTTCGCAGTCCCTGCCAAGGGCTACGCCCCCAATATTGACAAAACTACCAGAGACACCCTCGGGTTGCATGAAGGTGCGCTGTGAACACCCGTTGCTTGGCTGTGATTTGAACGCTGAGTGTCACAAATGACATGTAGGCATGCGACCACGGGTAAACATGCAATGGCAAAGCCAATAGAGTAAATGTTCAAGTCTCCTTCAGCTTCTTTGAAGGTTCATCCCGCACCACTGTTGTAAGTGCGACCCCCTTGTATAAATGAGAAAACTCCGGGGCATGTGTGTTTTCCAAAAAAACTTGATTTGTTGATTACTTGCTGGCCTCGACCACAAATGTAGTTATAGTTTTTGGTTGATTTTTCCTCTTTATGTGCAGGTTGTAACAGGTTGTTTGGGTATGACTCCCTGCTACCAAGGCTCTGCACCTGCGCATAGTGAGCACTGGTGTAAGCCACATCGGCAGGTTGCCCCAAGGCCAGTAGCAAGGGTTCGCAAAGCACTGCACTGGTAAAGGCGAACACGAAGCCTTAGTCAAGACAGGTCTCAAGCTGTTAACCAGCAATCGCCATCAGCTTCAGCCAGGGGCTCTTCAGCCTTTTTGAGACCTGACCAAATTCCCTCAATCAACGAGTTTGGTTTGCATCTTGCTCACCTGACTCTCCATACATACCCCCATCTTCCTCAATCCTCCTTGGCTCCAGCCGTGAAAACCTCGCCTCCGTCTCCGATATTCTTCTTCGCTAAACAAGATAAGCAGCAAATGCACAAGAGCACCAGCGCCCGGCGCACATAAACCGGATTCAGTTCTTCACTCTGGTTGGCGCCATAGGCCTCGCCATGACAAGGGCTCTTCTGTTTGAGGTGAACCAGTCTAGCATGGGATGTTGGCTGCCTAACTTCCAAAAAGCCTTAGGTGCCTAGCTTTTACACTTGGCTGCCTTGGCTGCGTATATCATCCATCAACAATATTCCAAAAGAGCTGGCCTGACACTGTGGACATGATCATACTGTCCAATTTCAGTCAGCCATATACCAGGTGCATCCCATATGTATTTAAAAACAAACAGCCTTGTTCAAGTCTCAACGCGTTCTCCATGTGACTCCAGTGTTGAAGTAAACACACTCTTGCCAAACTATGCAGACTGCCCGTTGCGGGAGTGCCGAAGTTGGCCAATTGCTGACACAAGACACTGAGATGTAGAATGATGTAGAAAACCTATGCCAAACATACCTGTCCAGGAGTAGGATATCCGCTAATTAGCCGCTAATTATAGATACCTGAGGTGGCACAGATCTCCTTCGCTGTTTCATCCACCAGGCCTGGCTGCAAAAGGTCGCTAAGCCGATCGTCGCCTCGGCCGTGTGCTGAGGCTGTCAACAAAAAACGCCCGATGCGTTCTCGTGTGGGGAAGGTAAACCCACGGTCCGCAGTACTTCCTTTCACACACTTGTCCAAGCTGTGGAGGTGGCAACCGCTCATATTTTAAGCTTGGTACATTGGAGCTGCGTTCGAGAAAACGCATGAATCATGAATCATCACGAGTCCAAGTTTCTCAGGTCAGTAGACTGAGACCCTCCAACCATCCCTCCAACCATACACCCAAACATCGGAAGCTAGCGAAAGGAGCCAACATCAGGTGGAGCACATGGGGTGCACACACTGGCCGACCGGTCCGTGGCGTAAGGCTGAGTCGTCCGAGGTGCGCTCACGCCGAGCGAAAGGCCTGTGATGTTGGAATACATCTTTCCAATGCCTGAGCTGATGCAGAAGTATTGGAAGCTATGACCTCATATGACCTCTAGAGTCGTAGACTTTTTGGGAGGCACGAGAAGATTCCACGAGGTCTGAGACCAGTCCGGGGTCCTTGTCCGCTCCAGTCTCGCTCCAAGCTAGAAGATACCATGCACACAACCCAACAACACAACCAAAGCTCTGATATAGGTAGGAACCCAAGCTTTCTTTGCTTACGCAAAACTACTCAAACAACCCACAAAAACTTGCCATGTCTCCAGATCGGCTTCTATATCTTGCACATCTGCGACATCTCTGATCCATCCTGACCTTGACTGCGCCCGTCTTCAGTTTTCTCAGAATTCCCCGGCCTGCGCCATCAAAATGGGACCGATTCTGGTAATCATAGTGCCCCACGAAGGTCAAGGTCCATCGATCTGCGCCAACACCTGGGTCCGATCCGTCGGACGCCCGGCGGAGAGATCGTCGAGATCGTGCGTCATCGCGGGTGGTCCCGAGGGCAACATCTTCAGCCTGGCCCAAGAGGAGCTGCTTTCAGTTTTGGACATGTTTGGACAGTATCTCTTACCCAAAGATCACGAAGATATCAATCACCACCCAATCGCCTTGCTGAAACAAATAGAGTCATCTCCATCCTCGCCCCATCCCCCTCAAAGAACCCCTCTCTCTCTCTCTGACCATCTGAGGTCCTGTCTCAAAGCTTGAGTGGCCATCACCGGGAGGCTCAGTCTCAACAACTCTTTCAAGGACTTGGCCTGGCGCCACGACCCGGGGTAAAAAGGTAAAACCACTGTTCCCATAGAAGTGGATTAATAGAAGTGGAATCACTGAATCACTATTCGGATCAAGGCGATTCCCCAGTTGAGGTGGATTCACCCACGTATAGAACATCTGAGTTATATATATATACCCCATCCGCCACACCCGTTTCGTGTTGATCAACCATCCGCCATTTGGCGATCAGGCCAAAGAAAGGGACCGTTGGGCCACTAGCACTCATATTGATAATTCAAAATGCTGATGTCAGCTCCTGGTCTTGTGAATGGTTTGAGGGTGAAATGCCATCAGGTGGTCAGAGTCAGGTGCTGGATGATGCCTTTACTTTCTGAAAAAGAGTAAAAGAGCTAAGCCAATGGCGCCTTTCTACTAATCTCTACTTCATCATTTAGTAGAGCTAAGCCGGTAGCGCTTTTCTACTTATTTGTATACTTAATCTTTAGTTTAGGATAGTTTAGGGAAACCATGCCCCAAGGATTCAAGTAGAAGGGTCGCTACTCACTGGCGAGACCCTTTTGTGGACCAACCTCTGAGCATCCCATTGGGTTGAGGTGCCACACGTGGAGCAGGAATGAGCAGGATATCTTGGGTCTATCCCATTACCAGTCACAGTACTGAAGGCCTTTCTCTAAAAGAGTGATAATTTATGATAATTTATTGTTTTACCGACTGTTACAGCCAATAGGACAAAACCCAAAGGATATCATTCTAGGGGGTGTCCACCAAAATGTCCACAGCGACGTCCAACACCGTCTCCAACCCAGCGTCGAACCTCGCCTCAAACGAGACACAATGTCTACTATACTGCTATACACGTTCGATCACCCTTCCATCGGGGTTCTCAAACCAGGTGATGCGCACCACCGGAGCGTTGAACCGAGAGCTCCACCAATTTGAGGGGTCCAATGCTCCACCGAAGGCTCCCAATCCGCCCCCGGACGGAACGATTCGCGTGTTTTGGCGCGCGCCATCTGGGCCCTCAGGGGCGATTCCAATTCCGACATGGCGCTGTGGTGCAGTGCAAACCCGGCCGAAGTTGGCAGTGTTCGGTATCTTTTCGGACATGTAGAGATCCCTATATATAAGGAAGGTAGGAATAGATTTGCAAGACTTCTTCAAGGGAATTCACTCTATATGTCCGCGGTTCAATGCAGCCGATCGTTTAGACATTGCCAATGTTTGAAATCCAAAAGCAGAATTGATCATGTCGACTTGCAGTATGTGGCATCACATGGTAAAGCCATTGTAAATTCATGCTTCCAGACTTCCAGCAGAGCAGTTTTCATCCATGTTCAACATCTATGTGCTCTCTTGGTCAATTGCCTTGGTAGGATGGTCAAGTGCCCTGCTTGTTTGTCAGCATGATGCCCTTCAGTTCTAACCTTCGAGCAGCCACATGTCCCCAGCATGGACCACAAAACTGCTTTGCACAAAAAAAGCGCACACACACAAATCGATTGGATTGGATTCAATTGATACAGTTCATATACAGTATGTCGTTTCGACGATTGCACCATCTGGATTGACAGTCATGGCTCATCCCATTGTCAAATTACTGTAACCAAAGAAACGACGTTGAACATGCCTCACAAGACTAGGAGATTGCACTTTATCCTGAGTTCCTGGCTCACTGTGCACCTGCGAGGCTTACCCGATGAGCAGGGTAAACTAATCTTTCCTTGTAAAAGCGAGATACCAGGCTACATCACTTATAATAACTTATAGTTGAGGAGAACTTGGCCTGCATCAAGTGTTGCAAGTATATATATATATATCATCTAGTATCTCATCTCTACCGACTCAATGACGCTCATGCCCCCTTTAATCAGCTAAGAACAATAGTAAAAGCATGTAAAAGTATACACAACATGTTCATTTTTGTTTAAAAAAAACACTTTGCACTGCAAGCTCCATGATTGCGCAAACTGCTGACTGTTTTGGGGGTCCCTGAGACAATGTGACATGACCACATATCTGCAAAAGTGGCACCTTCTCCAAGTGCTTGAAGCTCTTGCAAAAGCTGGTCACGCCTCCGTTTTGGGACACCGAGCTCGTGCTCATCGGCTCGCTGGCCAGGGGAACCGAAGGCTGGAAAGGAAGCGACCCTGACAGCCATATCTGACACTGCAATGGACTGTCATGACATAGCTGGCCACAAAGAAAAGTGCTCAACATATGTTGCTCATACAAAAATCGCTTGAATTTAAGTGGCACTGCCATTACAAGTGTCATAAGATGCCGCAAGGCAAAAGCATGTGGGGGCCCTAACGCATCAACATCCTCGTAGAAGAGAAACAACAACCTCTCTGCACTGGCTAAAAACAATCAATCCCGAGACATGAACCAGACTTGGACCTCCAATAAAGGGTTCTTCGATTTTACTTCTGCCTTGCGGTGGTGGAGGGGAAGCCTCTTCCGCCGGTCCCAAAACGGCTTCAGCTTCTCAGTAGAGTGGGACCCGAACAACCTATTCGCCGTTTCTCCTTCAAATCGGTGGGGAGAGGTCTGTAAACCGCATGATCATTCTTTTGACTCTAGGCTTTTGAGAGAACCAAACATCAAGAAAACGACACCATATAGTTAATTATATGTCTATAATATAAATATAAACGATCCAAACAAACATAACTAACATGATATAAGTTTAATGAGTTTTGCAAGTTCTTGACACTTGGGGACACAGAACACCCTGCTCCGACTTCTCCGGCGCTTTTGGAGTCGCTTTTGGTCCCTGACTGGGTACGATAGTGATCCCTTTCTGCTCGGAGCGGCTCCAGATCCTGGGATTTTCTTGCCCACGACCGGCGTGGAAAACATGGGAAAAGTGGATCTGAAGATGCCAAGACGAGGGGCTTCCCAACTGAAGCGAGGCCCATGGCATTCAAAGTAAAACATGAGAGCTAAAGAAGGCTCACATTCATGGGATGACAGCAAATGTTCCGGGATGGCTGAAGCCAGGCACCTGCATTTCACTAGTCACTAGACTTGATTGAATGACCTGGCAGATCTGATAGTCAAAATCACGAAGGTAACTCTATGAAGCTGGGAAGTTATGAATGACCGCAAGCTGCCTGTGCCCCACACTTCCCAATGATTGTTTTATATAGCAGCCTTTGAGAACCTCCCCTCTATTTCTAACCAATACAGGGACTTGCTTGACATCAAATGCTCTCGAACAATAGCTCTGTAGCCTGTCTTTTTGCCTGACAAAATCCGTAGACCACTACCAATTGGCCGCTGTCAAAGACGGAGGGCGAACTGTTTTGTCATGAGGTTTGCTTCACCATCCCGCGCGTCCATACAGCAGCCAGGAAAAGAACAGAACAGCACGTTGACCGGATTAGAAATTCGGACTCGAAATCTCTTGTTTTGAGGGAGGTGTTCCATGCAACTCCCAAGGTTTCCATGTATTCAGCCGCTCCTCCTGCTGCTCTTCGTGGTGGTCCTGCCAAGTAGGTAAGCCAAAGACTGGTATAATTTAATCTAGTAGCATGTGACACGGATGTGTATAGACCAAAAATGCAGTTGGGCAGGTTGGAGCCCACTTAGAAGCAGGACCGTCACAAAAACAATGTGTGTGTGTGTGTGTGTCAACAAAAAAGGCTTCTTTCTCAGGAACACATACAAAAACAACACAATCTGCGTTCTTGCTCTGTAATAAACTTGAAACAATACAAACTCATGAGCGGTGTCAAAAACCATCCAGAACTTGTATTAAGATTATAAAAACCATTCGCCAAATCCCTTCGCAACGCTTTCGCGGCTGCATGTTTTGCTTTCGCCGACCTACTTCACTCAACAACCTCTTTTCCTTTAACCCTTTCGCCGAGTTTCTGCTACTTACATCTAAGACACATATCAGCAAAGGGGAACATTCCTAATCTGCAACCACTGCTTTCGCCACATCTTCGCGAACCTTTCGCCAACCTTTCGCCTGGTTATCAGAAATCTTTGGATGACATGCTTTGCACTGAACACCTCTCCGCCAACCCTTTCGCAACAAAATCCTTTCATCAAAAATTCAGAGCCTTTCTCCAAACCTTTCGCCAAGCTTTCCCCAACTGCAGTTTTCCTTTCGCAAAGATTCATAATCTTAAGTCCTACCTAAATTCTTTTATATGGGTTTATGACGTTGCTTACATGCAAACAATTAGGTAGGCAAACTACCAACATCAAGTATATAACCTGCTGGGCAGACTCGGATTCTCCAATAATTTTGACAAGCCCAAATTGGTGAGGAAAAGGATCGATCTTAGCTTTGTGATGCGTTGTGTGGATGTTGCTCCGGACCAGGCTGGTGCGGACTCAAGTATGCTTCATGAACATCTGACATCCGGTATGTTTATCCAGCGGATAGGGTAATCTCGGATGGGTCGGATGGGTGGTTTTTGGATGCATCTTCAAGCGTGAGAAGGTCTGTCCTTGTGCCAATGGAGTAGCCATTCAGCACCTGATTAGCGGTGTTCCCATGGCGTTCGCTGGTGGCGTTTGCTGATGTATCAGCGATGCAAAGGGCTCGGGGATGCAAGGAAGTCTCTTAAGTCTGACATGGTCTCCTTCGAACGATGACACATTTTGATGGTTTCAACTCACTTGTAAAAAACATGAGTCAGTGGGTTATATAATTAATCAGTCAAGGTTTTTCACATACAAACCTCTGAAACCAACATTCTGTGCAAGTTACTTTATTCTGTGCAAGCCACCTCGTTGCCTCGTTTGTCCTCGCTATAATTTGTGCAGAACATTACACAGAAGTGGTTTGCTGTGCTGCACCGCATTCGGGTGAGACTTGGTCACACACGTGGACCAAGCCACTCGACCGAAGCCTTGGACCGGGTGCCCCAGCTGAAGCTCTCCACGTCATCCGGTCGGCTCCGCAACAGCGCCTGAACGGAGAGACACAATGGAGAGAGAGTCAGACTACGTCGAGACGGAGACATGTCTTCCTGTCGTTCTTTTTGGAAGGTAAGACAGTAGTGGGCCATGTTGTTTGTTTCCCATCAAAGTGTTGGTTGCGGGCAGTGGTGGTTGGGGAATCATTAAGGGACTGTAAACTTGATGTGAATTAATATCGATTCTATGTATTTGTTATGTTATGTACGTTATGCTATTTTCATCATGTACCATCTGCCATCTGCGAGGCTCCTAGTGCTTCCATGAGTTAAATGGAATATGCTGAACAGTGACCACGGACCGGACTGCCTCAGTCCCGGCCTCGACTAACGCTTCCAGCATGGAGCGCATGTTACTTTCCAGGTACCTCAGCTCTGGCTGCCAGCAGCTGCGACTGGGTCAAGTCATTGAAGTCAAGCCAATTCTAGGTCTGAAGATGTCTGAAGGTACGAGTAGAACTGCCCCCCGCAACGGCACGAGTGTTCGGCACATGTGCAACGAAACCAGTTTCAACATGTTTCAACCATACAGTCTTAAGACACGTACGGCGTACGGGCAAAGCATACGCCATACGTGAGTGTTTGAATCAAGTTTGAAGCTCCATTTTGTGTCTGGAACGGAGGACAAATATCCTCTGAAACAAAGGTTCAAAGACACACCTCAGCTGATACAAGGCCCAAACACACACACACATACGACATCACAAAACCGTCATTCTGAAATTCTGAGTGTATGCGAGGTTAGGTTGTCCACACTGACCACCGAAGTCCAAAATCCCAAAATCATTCAAAATACCCAATGGCGCACACATGGGAATCTCAAAGAAACTCATGGTGGAGGACCAGGAACTGTTCAAAGGTGGGATTCATCCCATTCCTTGGATTCTTTGCCAAGCTTCTCCTGGTAAACTGCAGCTTGCACCGCTGCAGGCATCCTGCCTGGCGGGAAAAATGCCGTCGACCGCCTTCGTTGCTACGAGGCACGGAGGATCTTGGGCGACTGAGAGTTGTACAGTGGGTTCAGAGTAGATGGCACAATCCCCAAGAGGTGGTCTATATGAACCCCCATCTAAAGGACATGTAGGGGTTTGCGCCATCTACTCTGAAACCACTGTACAGCAAATAAATAGTGTCTCGTTGATGACATGTTCGGGCGGCTTCAGGCCGGTCTTTTGGGGTGCCATGACCGGTTGGAAGCTATTTGGAGAAGTAACGGACTGCCGGGATGCTGATAAACCCAGAAAAAAAGCACCAAGTACTGCCTTTCAGCAACTGTATCCAATTCTACTGACCCAGTCAGTACAATTTTCCTACTTGTTCCTAGTGCTTATTGGTAGGCTTGGAAGAATAGTAACCCGGTCCCACCTGTGTGCATTGAATTAAAACCCCTTCTCACACCAGTGATCTTCTGAATGACATTCAGCTGTGCACCCCCACTCCAGATTCGATCCCCCGAGCTGCCTTCGTCCCACCGCGATGGAGACAAAAAGACCGCAGAGAAGCGGACACCGGGCAACGACGCGAAAACTGCTGGCTTGGGATTGAGGATAGAGACCATATGATTTCCTAGTGCTGCGACTGAAGTGTATTTCCCAGCATCTTCATCACGGGCTAGGTGAGAACCAGTCGCTGGCCGTTGCATCCAACAAGAAGCATGATTCTGATTTCTGCATGACTCGATTGCTTCAACTGATTCTTTTCCTGAAGTTGCTGTCGATGTTTTTGCCGGTCTGCTTAAAACATCTGTGGGCGGGTGCCCTGCCAACCAAGCCTCAGGTGCTACGTTTCACGCTTTCGCGACGAGGAAAGCAGCAACCAGTCATCTCCATTCATCTTGATTGCCAATTTATTACTGTTCACTCTTACAATCCTGCGACTGGGGCAGTGCCAAGTGATTCGCAGTGTCATGAAGACATGACGAGGACAAAGGTTCAAAGTTCAAAGTCATCAACCGGAAATTGAAAGGTGTAAGGATGTAACTACCCTGGTCAACAGGCTGCTTAGCTTATACTTCATGACATCATCTTTCATTCACAACTTGGCAGAAGATGCTACTCGGCGTCCAAAACATGTCTAGCAGCGATCAGTATATTATAGAATATCGCTACCTTTCACAAAAGGCTCAAAGAAACTGAGAAGGTCATGCTGGTTTCAACATCTTCGTCAGCTTCGCAGCTTCGACCTCTTTCTGGCACCGTGCTGTTCCAACTCACGGCCGCGGTATCACGGCCCAATCTGTGGCCCAATCGAGGTTTGGCTTGTGCAAACACACCCAGGTTGAGTGATCGTTTCGCTTGTCTTCCCTTTCGGTCCGATGCACTGCCAGAAGCCACCCTTGATGTCCTTTTGAACCTGACACCAGCTCCAAGTGGACAGTTCCGTCTTGCGATCCAGGCTTTTCTCTCCAAACTGCGGCCTTGTTCTTATCCTTGTGCACCATCATGCGACACGAACTTTGGTTGCGCGCTGCATCAGACTGGACGGCCAGGTACCAGCCAGCAGGCTGCTTCCAAGCATCTGGTGTTTTCACCTTTAAAATGAAACAACTTGCAGTCATCTCCATTTCCCACTCCTGCTTTGGAGCAGAGCGGGCAGAGCCATCAGGGCGCTGCCACTGCAAAGCATGGACCAAAGCCCTGCTGGATTTCTGACTAAGACAATCCCTGTCTTCGCATCGTACAGCATACAACTGCCAGCCCGCTTCCTGGCCGTGTTGTTTGCAGGCTGTTTGGAGCTGCACCGTCTTCGTGGTGAAGGTGGAGGAAAGAAGTTGTTTCATGAAAGAGCCATTGGCTGTCAAATATTCTTTCTTCCAACCAGCCACAGGGCTGTCGGGTTTCAACGCAGAATGGCTTTCACCCTCCTTGTCACACACGTTCCACATGACATGGCCAATCTGATGCAAGTTCAGGAAGTGTAGCCAGTCTCGGCTCCAGGCTTCCCGAACTGGCTTCGTCCCATCGAACTTTCCAGTGCCCCATTCGGTGATGAAAACCGCTCCCATCGTTTCGAGAGCATGTGAGACCCGAGCTTTCATCGTTTGGAGATGATGAAAGGAATTCATGTACGCATGCATGCTGAAGCCAAGTCTATCGTCCTTGGGGTCAAGTTGGGAAATTGCTTCAACTGGAGCATCTGAAGACCAACTCGTCGTGGGGATCAGCACCAGGTTTTGGGAGTTGGCCCGGATCTGTTTCAAGACAGCCTTACTATATGTCACAATATTTGTCCATTCCGAGGGCCCGGGCGGCTCATTCCAGATTTCAAAAATCACATGAGGGTACTCACCATATTCTTGGGCAACAGCATCGAAGAACTCCAATGCTTTCTCCTGCACATGGTCATCTAGTTTGTGGAAGTGAAAATCTACTACGATATAAATGCCACAAACAATAGCAGCCAGCACCACATCTCTGACAGCTTGCAGGGCTCCGGCTGAGTCTGAGATGTAGCCACCCTCAGGAACAACGCCAATGGGCATTCGAATCACATTGACTTGCCAATCTTCCACAAGCCACTTGATGGTCTCGAAGCAGAAGAAGCGTCTCTTCCATTGATGCCAGAACAAAGACATCCCACGCAGCTGCACTGGAGAGTCTTCAAATTCTCCACAAATGCGATTGGAAGCAACTCGCAAGCGGCCGTACTGAGGCATTTCTGGAACCGCACTTGGGCCATACTGCAGGAGCATCCGGTAAATGTGCGTCTTGAATATTCCCAAGCTGCTGGCAACGGACAAGATTTTGTCGGGGTCATACTTGAACGAGGTGAGTTCCCACCAGTTTTCTTCGACCTTACTCCCTGCCATGGCGTTGCCAGGTTGTCGCATGTAAATATATTCCTCCTTGTCGGCGTCGCAAGGGATCACTTTCAATTGATTGTTCTTCTGCAGTGCTTTCAACACGGGAGTGTCTTCACCAACATTTTTGGATTCGTATCGATACTCTTCCTGGACTAGAACATCTTTTCGGCAGCACAAGGTCATTTCCCAACCCTCTTCACGGGGATGGAGCCGGTAGCAGCGAGGCAGTCGCTTGTTTTCCAGTGCCTTCGCATCAGTTTCATTGACGACAGCTGTCTTGTAGGTGCAAGCAACGGCAGTGTCGGAGGCCTCCTTGATTGCTTGAACTTGGTTCTTTACGCGGTCTTTGTGGTACAGGTCATCATCATCCCACACAACTACGTAGTCTCCGCTGCATGCATTGACACCTGTATTCCGCAGTTGACCCAGCGTCACGTTACTGTCTTCTCCTCTTTTGACAAATAGTGGTTTGACACTGAAATTCGGATGCCCAGGGCAATCGCTCAACTTCTTAAGGTACTCCTTCGTACTTATGTGCCAGGAATCATCCTCTTGGTCTGCCTGAATGTTGTGGACAATCACATGCTCAATCTCTTGCAGTTCGTCCTCTAGAAAGGATTGTTTCCGGGCTTGCTCTATGGTCAATTTCATGAAATCCCGGTTTCGGTTGGTCACCGTCAGAAGCGACACGCGCGTCCGTTCTGTCGACATGGCGCCGAGAATGCTTCGGAGAACTGAAGTTTCAGCAAAGCCCTCAGCGCGACTGAGAGTTGTACAGCAATTGTATGGTCCCTTGATGAAACCGACATGTTCGGGTCTGCAGGTTCTGGTTCGGCTTTGAGCGACCCAAGCCGTTATCGGTAGGGACGACCCACAGGTCGGGAACTTCAGCATATCTGATCCATTCCTAGTGTGAATGAGCTGACAGGAAGAATACCCAAACCGGCGTGTCCCGCAAGTTGGAGAAACCTTTCTTTTCACACCATTCTGGACATTCAGCTATTCCTTCCCCACAGGCCTTTGTCCTCCCACTGCCGCGGAGACAAAAACCAAAGAAAGACTGCTAGTTTGGGATCCAGGATATATAAATCTGATTTCATAGTAACTGAGTAACTCAGAATATGTAATGATGCCGATAAAAATGTTCCTGACGGTTGCCGTGCCACCTGAATCTGTTTGTTTGCTTGTGCACTTAGCTGCGGAAGCGCAGTTTGTCGGATGTCTGAATTCTCTCATGTCACTCATGTTTATTATTTTGCCAATGTACCTGATTGAGACGTGTGATGTTGCATGAATTTATCTCACGTCACATCGTCAGATCTGCCCCAACTATGCTGGGACACTTCGCTGTGTCTTCAGCATGACTCAAGCATACTCACACATTCACACATGGCAGAACTTCCACACCAAAATGGCAGGGAACAAGCGACAGGTGTTGATTCTGTTCCTTTTGGCTTCTCCGCTTCTCCATGAAGTCGCGATAGAGACAGTGGACCACCTCGGCCGAGTGCGGCACTGCGTCATGACCCCACTGAGTTCACATAAGACTTGCTGGCTCCCAGCTTGTCATCCAGATGTCGTGGACATGAAGACCTGCTTTAGAAGGATCTCAGCGGATAATCCCACATAGGGACGCGGAGCTGAAAATCAGAGTTGCTACAAATCTGTGAAGAAAAAGGGACGTCTTCCAAATGAACATATCTGACACATGTTGATTTGCAAAGGCAAAGAAGTTCCAGAGTCAAAGCTGCACCAAGCCTGTGCTGCCCTCACCTCCAACGGTTGCCTGGGCCTGGGCAGGCAGTTGGGTCATCGAGTTCCTACAAAAGTAATAGTGGATGATCTTGGTATGGGCCAACAAGGGCGGGTACCGCCTCTCACATGGTTTTAGAACTCTCTGTGCATTCCTACAAGGCTCAGTTTCTTTGACTCACGCACATCAACGTACAATTATTACATCTTTGGACAGCAGGCTGCTGGCGTGCTATACCCCTGAGCTTGCAGAAACCAAATCAAGGCAGCACCTCGCGCCCGCGCGTGGCTTGGATCAACCGATGCCTCCGGTAGAGGAAGCCACCGGTCCCTAAACCCACCAGCAGGATGCACGCGAGGATCCAGGTCCAAGGGACCAAACTACTGGACTTCTGCTTGGGATCCGGTTGATCCGGTTGATCTGGTTGATCAGGTTCAACCGGTTGATCTGGTTGATCAGGCTGCTCCGGTTGGTCAGATGTGGAAGTCGTGTCTCTGTCTGGTATGGTCGGATCGTCCACCGGCAGCAGAAGATTTTGTAAACCGTCCCAATTGGAGGGTCCAGGTCCCGGGAGCCCAAAGTTGAACAAGACCTTGAGGTTTTCAGTGCCCTTGGGCAGCTGCGAAGCGTCCACCATGACCTTCACCAGCTCCTCATGTTTTTCGGGTTCCCTGTGATCTTTTGGAAGACGCTCGAGGTCGATGATCTTCACCAACTTGCCCCATTCTCCCCGGCCCTTGGGGATGATGGCTTGAATAACGGATTCATGAAGGTCATAATAACCCACATCCTTCAGGCAACCTGTGACCTCAGAGGGCAAGGTATCTTTGACCTTGACAGGAGGAAATACCTGATCAGTCGGTTTTGTTGGTTGGCTGGTGAACAGAACCTGATGCACATTCTGGCTGGAATTCACGAGCTTCAACTGCCAGTTGAAGATCTCCTTCACTGCCTGTGCGCAAGCGCCGGCCTCCACCTGAATCAAGGTTGGAACACTTGCTGCAAAAACACACACCATTCTAGGGGTCGTGTTGGGATCACAAGATCCTGTGTTGATTCCCATACTATACCTCTATCATTGGAAACAAAAACACAAATAACAGGCTTTGAGGCTTACCCTCTGAGGCACCTTGAACTGTCCATCTTCCTTATCCTGGCGATACCTCAAGGATCCGAGCGGAACATCTTTGATGGTCCCACTCTCGCCGTTCTTCGAATTCTTTGCCATGACGTCAACTGTTGCTGTTTTGGCCGTCGTCCACCCGTCAGTGTCCGAATAATATTTGCTATTGCCAAGGGGGAAGAGGACACAAGTGAGGTTCGCAACTTGCCCGGGCTTGATCTGCAAGCTGCCAATGCTCGCGGCACTGTTTGGTTGAAAGTGCTGAGTGTAGGTCAGCTTCCCACAGAAGGGCCCAGGTTCAATCGTGAGAAGATCAAACTTTGTTGCGTCCATGTCCTGGCAATTCACCAAGGCATGAAACGCATTGCTTGGCACTTCACTGGACTCAGCACGGTCTTTGCAAGTCAAATCGATGCCCATCGAGACGATCATGCAGCCAGTACTCTTGCCATTCACCTCCAGGTTTTGTGAGCTTCCTCTGTGGGTGCGAGAAAAACCCACCTTCTCCCAATCTTTCACGATGTCGCTGGAACTCAGCACCACAACGCAAAAAATGCAAATGATTTTCATGACCAAAGCCAAAATAGATCAATTGCACTGATGAGGGGTTTTGGGCCAAAAAGGCTACGGTCCAAGGACGAGTCTCCCACCAGCAAGCTGAATGTATGAGCCTGGCATCCCAGCAAGCCAGTTCTCTCAGCAAATGAGCCGAGGGCCACGCCGCAGCACCAGCTCAGCCGGACGAGCTCCTGAGCACCCATTTCAAAGGTTCTGGTGGAAGATGTGTTCCCTTAAAGCCATGAACCTTTGATATAACTTTGATCTCTCGAAGTGCTCAGCATTGCAGAAGATTCATGGAAGCTTGTCGCGTCCATTTTTCATATTTTTCATCCAAAGAATGCATTTAAATCTTCATGCGCCATTGGTACCATACACTGTTAGACAATCATCCAATGGGAATGTCACATTTGACATACTAACGATGAGATTAATCGGACAATCTGGCTAAATCCGGGCCAACCAATGTTTGCACACCTACCACACGTCAATCAAATACCAGCCCTCGTCTGCTTCGTTCCGGACCTGCGTTTGTCCAACAGCTGTGGGCCCAGGAGCACCGGGCAACGATGGTAATGAAATTGTAATTCATCAGTAGCAATTTCCCAGTAGCTCAGAAATTTCCATAAGGCCGATAAACATTGTTGCTGAAGGTTCTCGTGTCGAAGTAGCGTCTTTGCCATCTTCACTTAATCTGATTGTTGTTTGTGCTCTGGGCTGCGGAAGCGTAGCTTGTCACAAGATGGGAGAATTGTATACGATTTTGTTATTCAGTTTCCCTGGCTGTATTCTGGAGACGTAGAAAGTCATGAGATTCTCTCTTGCCACATCTTCTCCAATTCAGCATGACGCAAACACATTTAGGGTTAACTCGAACATCAAAATGCCAGGGATGACAAACTTTGATTATTTTACACTTGCCCATTGGGGGGGTGCCCTATTTTGTATTCATATTCCAAACCAAATCGAAGCAGGATCTAGACCGACCACGCTGAACCTATTTGTTGCTTTTCTGCCGAGAACCGAGTTGTCAAATGAGTTTGATACTGTTGGCCACCACCATAACTGAGCTGCTGCCACACCAAAGCTCAGCATGCAAAAGGGATCAGACCAGGGTTTCAAAGAAAGAAGGTCCAATCTTCCCTCCGAAAAGAGGATCTACAGAAATCATTCATTTCACTGCAATGGATGAGTATGAAACCAATCCCCCTGTTTCTTGCTGGGAACCCCTACTCGAAGAAGTTGATTGAATGCATGGAGTCACGTATGCATTGAATGGAAGAGTGTTGCTTCATGCCAAGAACCAACACACATTTAAAAGAAAGGCACTGTCATGTGGGTGTGGATCAAAACATGGATCGCCAATGGCTGATGAGATCCGCTCTCATCCCCAATGGTCTGGCACTGAATAGATTGCGCGGGCTCATTTCACTGCTGAAGATCAATCACTGCCCAGCAGCCTCTTTGGCATCTCGGCCAAAGATGAATTCCTGTCTATACTTCGTCTAGATACAGATTTCCCCGCAACCCAAGAAGTCAAAGGCTCTCTCAAAGTCATCAGAACAGCGTTGTCAACGGCTGTCTCTCAGTGTCTTTGAAGTAACTGAAGCAAACCTCACAAACATACAACACTCAGGAGTTCCATGGTGCCGTGGTTCTTTCGCCGAAGTAAGTGGATCATGGGCGCTAAGTAAGTGGATCATGGGTGCTGATGGGCCAGGCTGATGGGAATATTCCACTCTTTTGGCAGACTATTCGCTATACATGTGTGTTCCGACTGTACAAGCAAACGCTTATGGCACTTTCGCCACATGCTCGAACTTATGCTCAAAGGTCGGCAGACAGTGTCAATTCCAGTTTGTTGGTGATTTCCTCTCGATAGTCGTAACTTCCCAATTGACCGAGTAGAATTAAACCAGTGTCAAAAAAACAAATCTCAATACTCAACTCTCAATTGATTTTGTAAAAACCCAAACAGTATCATGCATATAATGCAAATCTACTTCAGACTTGACACAGCTGCAAAAAGCTTGCAAACAAAACTACTCGCACATTGCAGCATAATTTTGCACATCTACGCAGCTGCCAGGACCTGGACAAGCTATAGGTGGATGGCGACTGTCCGCTGCATGTGGAATCAAACTTCTTACAACGTTTTTGCATTGAATGTCAGTGATGTTCAAAAGGTACAACCTGGTGGAACAACACATACAACCAGGACCGCCTACTTTCCAATTAAGGGGTATCTTGAAGACCCGAGTTTGGTTTAAGGCTACTGCTCACGAGTCTTCAATATTTTCTGTATACTGCTTCCAAGAGTTGACTCGGCCAGGCCTCATCTGCGCAGCTGCTCCTTCCCAAACTTCAGCCATTCTGACACCTCAGCCGCCGACTCAGAAGGAAACCATAGAAACCATCAGCTGAGCTCGTGGTGGAATGTTTTTGTTCCGAGTGGAACCGATCAATGCCATCTCAAGGCTACAGTAAGTCCCCTCCCTGCCAAAACTGGGGTCTGGGGAGTTGTGTTCATTGAAGGAAACAACGCCCCTGATCGCTTTGTTTCGTCCTGAACCGCCGATCCGTGGCAGCTGCTGATTTCGCAGCAGGGTGTGGGTTATCCATTGTCATTGGGCTAAGAGGAAGAAGCTCAATGTGAGAGTTGTAGGGCGCACAAAAAGGAGAAGGCGATTGACAGCAAAAGAGCTGTCAATGTCAATCTGAAAGTTCCATTCGCAGACCGTCACTGGATGGCCTGCCAGAGCTGCCAAAGGATTTTCTATGGACATAAACATAATATATATAATATATGATAATACCAGGACCATCCATCCTGTCTGGGTGTCCGGACGACCCTACATGAACACTGGGATCTCCAGCCAGGACATGCAGACAGGATGGTCCAGGTATGTTGTTCCTGGTCCAATCTGGGTGACGCGTCTGTCACGCTCCAGAGCGACCCCACAGGGCGGCCCTCAGCATCCGGATAGTCAAGGTCAGCCTCAGCAAATCACCAAGCTCTGAACAAAAGCGCCACGAATGGCCAGCTCTGAGGTTGGAGGCCATCGCTCTTAGGTTGCAATCAATCCATCCCGCCGAGAATCATTATCATTTGTGGGGGCCCAACGTATCATATCCACATAAATTTAAGATGAAGAAAGCCAACTTTGCGGAAACAAACATATCCTTTTCGACCTGCTTGTACTAGTTAGTGTACAATCCCTCCTAGGATCCATACAACCTTGGTCTGATGCCATAGATGTGATCAACGGTTGTCAGTGTTCATATGCAGGCACCTATCACCTATCTAAGCACCATCATTCCAGGCACCTATCACCTGTCTTCACATGCCCGGTCTCGACTCAATGCGGGATTTCACCACTTGGCCACAGGTGGGTGACGAGTCGAGGACGAGGACGACGCGCGGCGAGATCTCAAAACGCCGCCAAAAGACGTTCAGGTAGGTGAACTTGTCAGTGCGATCGTCCAAAATGCGTCCGCACATCGTATCATACTTCACCTCCTTCTTCCTCAAAACGAAGGGACGGATCGTTTGTCACACACACACCAAACTCAAGACTCCGGCATAGATGGAAGACAAATCTAACTTTGATATCGAATCTTTCTCAGGCTTCTCCGTACTCCAATGTTTTGTCAGCTTACAACAAAGAAAACATGCTTGTAGAGGAAAGTTCCAAAGGCTTGATTCATGATTCCTAACGAACAAGAAACCGTGTAAAACTGTACAACTCTGTCCTTTGCTTGCACCTCACCCTACCCAATTATATAAGGGCCCCCTTCCCCCAAGATCCATGGTTTTTAATCATGCAGCATGTTGCTCAACTAAACAAACCAAGATCGTTTAAATCTTCATACTAGGGAAGACCGTCGGGGTGCGACATATCATATCTGCTAAGTCTAATTTAGCAGCAAAGTGAGCATTCCAGGCTCACTTGGCACGGATTTGCGACGTTGACTACACAAACACCTTCCATGGATATCTGCTTGTGCTTGGTTGACTACCATCTTGCCTTAAGCAAGATTCAACACATTGACAACCACGGCAAATCCCTATCTGAGCCCAGCACTGTTTCTGATCGACCTCTTTTCTCTGCTTCACCTCAGTCTCTCCAAAGGCTGATTGCAGCAATACGCAGAGACACGTAGCGATGTGTCGCCGCATGGCATTCTTCTCAACACATGCAGTCTCAAAATGTCCAGAGAAAGAACAGTCTTAGAAATGATGCAGGTCCATTCATGATGATTCACATGCATGTCCAAATGAACAGTTTTGGAAATGGACTCATGAAAAGTTTCATGTCATTCACTCATGCAGTCTTCATCCAAAATCGTGAATGACTTCCAAAATGCCATCATGAATGACTTCCAAAAGGCCAGTGCTCAACAAATCCCGCGAGGCGGTATCAGAGCAAAGGAGTTGGGGTGATATGGGGGAACGGTTCGTGTCCAACCTAAGATTGTCGTTTCCAGATGATCAAGTGATTCTTCTAAGTCATACATCTATTGTCGGCGTCCCTTTTCTTATAGTTCTTGGGCCACGGCAGCCTTTTCCCACAAACGCCGTGCCTCCTGGCAAACTAAGGCACGTTGGGATCTGGCAAGTTGATTCCAGTTAGTTGTGGACATATGTATACTGTATATATATATATGGCAAATCCACACTGCGTTGAAAATCATAATACCGTACATTACAAGTATATAGATCTGCTACTACTATTTGGAGCGATTTGGAGGGAGAATTGGCTGGGAATTACTAAAGAAAGCATCCGTTCCACTCTCAACTGGGAAGTCAAGACGTCAACAATCTCAGCACTACCTTGATAACCAGGAGGCACTTGCAAGAAAAATCAGAAAAGCAGTCTCCTGCGTCTCTGGCAACCTGCAATTAGTTCAAACATGAGGGTTCCTCTACCAAGTCGGTGCATCATGTTGGTGTGTTTTTCCGGTATAGTCCTTAGCAAAGATGTACCAAACAGGAGTCTTTCTATTTTGAGTATAAACATAACAATCCATATTAAGGCGCAACAATCGACTGCAGGCTTTAGAGGGAATTGTTCAGGGGTATCCCTCTTAGGGTACATGCTCTTACTGAGTGTAAACAAACATATCTGTCCAACAGGTTTCACAATGCTTCCCTTTGCCTACATCACTGCCAAATAAAAAAATAACACATTAAACAATTCAAGACACATGTTCAAGGACCCAACGGGGCGAAACTATATCTACTATTGAAGTCAAATCTGGGAATTCGATTTGCCCTGCCCTCCACAACTTGGGGAACCAGCATGAGCACGTCCCGTTTGCTGTCCCATGAACGACCACTGGCCTGGATTGAGGGGTCAATATCGAGTACACGTCGCAAGTCTCTGCAAGCCTACAAAGGCTCAAACGAAATTCTCAAGAGAACACTACGCTATGCACCCGAGGTCGAACCGGCCACAGGAAAAGAAGGCCTGGCTGAGCTGGTAGCTGCTTTCATTGTCTTGACAATAATCTTAAACTTCAAATACAAGCATAGAACCTATCCCAAAAACATAATCGATCAGCATGAACATTTGCCAACGACTAGGTGGTTGGATTTTGTGGTCTCTGGCAGACCAAGCAATATCACAGAAATGCCAGCGGACAGCTTGACCTGCGAGCGCCTCCCAAACCTGCCCAGTAGGTACCACAAAGTCAGAAACCCCGCCGCTGGTTGGGGTGTCTCCCATTATCTAATATGAATCATGAATAGGAAATATAAATATATATAATAGATATATAGATATATTATAAGATGTAATATGTGTAGGCAATCATTAGTTATATATGTAATATTATATCCTCTATTCTCAACACCTGATTGCACGAGACAGACTGGATTACCTTGGGTGCTCCTGGCCTCCGCAAACTCTCGCTGTTGCAGTTCCGCTTGCGCCCGCCGGTACAGTGCCTGCAGCAACGCCCTTTCTTCCGGGGTCTCAGTCACTAGAGATGACTCCCAGGCTCGCATGATTCATACTCGTGCACAGGACGGGTGTGTGTGTGTGTGTGTGTTCTTGTTAACAATGCAAAAGCTGGGTTTATCTATTTGCATAGAAGATGCTAGTAACATGAAATTGGCAATTTCAATGATTGGCAAGTGCCTCTTTGGTTCTCTCATTCTCAAACATCATACTCGAGGGCATAATACCAAGTACTATTTAAGTATGTACAAACACATCAGCTATAAACTACAAACAAAATAGCACCATGTGGTGGAGAAATGTGTGACAAACACAACTGTGCTTGTCAATTCTCGATGGTATGATCCTTGGGGCCTTGGTGCTCTCGGGCACTTGCTTCAAGACCAAATCGCAGGCTTCTTTGGCCTCGCTTGGAGAAATCAAGATGGCGCAAGCTTGGGTGTGTGTTGATGTATATGTACACATAATCAATGGTTTGCATAATAGATGTATAGAAACATGTCCAATTATACATTAAGTGTACGGTACAAGCAGCACCTCCTGGATGATTTACCAAGCATTGCTTTCAACTGCCCTCAACGCGGGAAACCAGACCTCGATCTGGGGCAATGCACACTTTACAGCAATGTGATGTGGTTCCCTCACAGAAGAATACAGTATGTGTTCTATATAGGGCCTCCTTTGTGCAGTTGTATCTACTTCAAGAAGGCCTGATGCCAGATTTATTCAAGTGCCAAGCCGTTTTGCCCAGCACTTTGACACAGGAGCTTCCTTCGTAATCTCCTTCAAATTGGTCATTCCACCCCAGCTGATGTATGTACCTTCACTTGACCAAACACCTGTGACTACCACACACAAAACTGCCCGGCTATGTTCCACACCATTGATGAGTCCTGGCATGAAAGTTTGATTTGAAGTTGAGGGAACCCTTGAGTCCTGCCCCCTTGCCCTTCAGAGATCTGTCAAGGTCCGTGTTTCTCTTCAGAAACATCCCATCTGACCACAATCGTGACACGACTCCTCTCTCAAGATCTCTGGGGATGGGCCACCTGTCTCATCTTGGATCATGTAGGACACCGCTGCCCCGGACCGGGACCTAGACGTGGATTCGTCGGGGTTCATGCTGTCATCTCCTGGAACCCTAGACGTGGATCAGTCAGATAAAGCACTCAATACCCAAACGCTGGATTGGTCGGAATCTCAACAACTAGGAAATGGGTGCGAATCGCTTGCCACGCTCGCCCTGGTTTGGTCCGTCGACGTGGATTCTTCCTCATTGCTCCGGGACTTGGGTTCGCGAAAAACAGAATGTTGAGCCGCACGAAGAAAGGCTCTTTTCCTCGCCATGAACGGAAGGGGCTCAAGGCGCCTGTGAACAGCGCGTCCACGTTGGGCCAAATGGTGGCCGGAGAGAAAGGTGTAAAGGGACAGGGGACATGAGCTTCAAGTACATGGAATGATCTTTCACATCCTTCGGGGGGTCATTTCGTGTCCTCTGTCTCCTTTACAAGACTGTACTTTGCGCTCTTCATGATGCGCCTCATCAAGGTGCTATTGCCGCATCTCTTGGTGAGTGGATCGGCTAGCATCTGAGGTCCAGGGACCCAAAACGTTTTGACTTTCAAAAGTCGTGCTGAAATGCAGATCACAGCGACATCGATCTGCGCCCTGCGGCATTTGCCAGCGTTTCCTGACCGTCTGCTGAGCAAATCATACAAAGCTTTGGCATCAGTCACGTGAGCTCCAGTGCCGTCGTCCTTGATCCGGATCGAGGCAATCTCAAAGTCCTCGTTGTGCTCGGGGAGCCGCACCACCATCGCTGACTCGGTGTCTCCGAGCCGCAAGCCATCCAGCACACAGCTGCTGGGGTCAAGCAGTTCGTGCCAAAGAGCACGAATCCACTCCACTTCAGCCAGCGCGTCATCCATCGCCAAGGCCTCTGACCCAAGCGTCGCCTTCACGACGCGCTTCAACTTGTGGCTTCGCCAGGAGTTCAAGCTGAAATCAGCGACCTGGCCCTTCATGATGCTCTCGTGAGCGAGCGCCAACACAAAGCCACCCTGCGACTTGTTCTCTACGTTCGCCATGGAGGCATCTGCAACAGTCATCCAGATGCTCTCTTCTGCAGGGATCGGCATGATCCTGATGATGGCGTCCATCGTTTGTTTCAGCTCTGCAACCGTCTTATTGGCCATCAGGATGTGTTCCACCGTTGGTCCCGTTGAAGGCCTGGACATGGACATAGCGCATGCAGCGCCGACATCTGGCCGGCCCTCCTTTCCGACCCACAAAAGTGAGCCGCCAACTCCCCGGAGCCATGAAATCTCCTTCTCGTCCAGGAGCTCCTGCTTCTGCTTCATGCGCTCCTTGGTGAGGGTCACAGGACGGAGTTTCTCCTGGATGTACCTTTTCATGCTCACCTGAATCTCGAAGGACGGGAGCTGGTGCAGAGTCCTGCCGATGTAGTCGGCTGAGCTGTCGAAGACATCCTTCCATTTGCCGAACTTGAGCTGCGTGCGAAGCTGGTTCATGAGCTCTTGATGACGAGCATTGCCACCCTGGCAGAAATCATCAACATCTAACAACACAATGCCAGCCACAAACAGCTTCTTGCCAGCCATTTCCTCCTCCGTGGGCTTGAGGTAGTAAAGACATGGATCGAAAACACTCTCCTCATAGCCCAAAGTCAACAGCTTTCGTCTGACGGTGCGTCGCCAGACTGCTGGAGCATTCACCAGGCCGTAGACTGCAGATAGAGTGGTCCTTGTTCACGTTCAACTGGATCACTCTGACCAAAAGCTGAGCTGACATCCATGATGAAGAGGTGGAACTGCAGGGATGACAGAATCTGAAGTGCCAGCATCACGGTGGTGCTTGAAGGTGTCGGTGCAAATCGCCCCAACTGGAGGCTGTTGGGGTCTCTATGCCCCAGAAGGATCCAGCGTGCTTTGGCTTTCCACTGCTCGCCAACCTCGCCGGTCTTCTTTGTAATGATGAACCGGCTGGGCATGATTCGGTGGCTGTATTTGTCATGCACCCACCTGATCTGTTCTTGGTCAGTGATCATCTCGATGGCGTTGGAGCCAATTAGGTTGTCGATCTCCTTGGTCTTGGCTTCGGCGAAGAGCTTCTTTTCAGCATCATTCAACTTCTTTTCATTCAGCTCTTTGCCACTCTGTTTGGTGAGGTAGGACAGCGAGCTCTCTTCTTGGAGGTAGTGGTTGTAGTAGGTGTCATTCTTCATCACCTTGTGAAAGACCTGGAGGTCACGTTGGTTGGCAACCACTGGAAACATAGCTTTGCTGCCCCACTCTGTGAGATCGTCTGCACGCCATTGACCAAAGATGCGAGAGCGCTGAGGTGCCCGCTGATCAGTGGCTGCTCCTTCCAAGCTGCGCTTCATGCCCGTGTCCACCAGACGCGCATCTTCTTCTGGTGCCTCAGGTGGATCAACAACTTCATTTGGGCCATAGAGAGGTTCCTTGTAGTCCTCACCTGGATCTGGGTGTTCTGGAATGGCCTTGTACACCAGGACAGTGAGGATGTTGATCACCCCTTCAGGCAGCTTGTCATGTGCTCGGTGAATGGGCATCTCTGGAGTGATGGCGATGTCTTGAATCTTCCGGTTCGTGTCAATGTCATAGGTGACTCTTCGAACCACATCATTCCAGAGTGGGCCCTTGCTGTTTGAGCCACGGTAGCGCTTGGCACTAAAGTCATGGCGCTTCCACATCTTAAGAACTTCTGGATGGCCACTCGAAGGCTCAGGACCATTTTGCTGTGCCTTTCGGTTTTCCAAGGAGGCCTTCCAGAGTTCATCTGCGTCATTTCCTTCTTCTTCTTCTGCAGCTGCCGACTGTGGTTGGTCTGCTGCTGCCGGTGTGACTGCTGATGCTTGCTTGCTTGCTGATGCCGTTGGTTGTGGTTCTTGAGGTTTTGCCTTGCTTGAGTCAATCACTTCATCGATGACAACACGTGCAGGTGCTGCCTTCGCAGGTGATCGTGTGCGGTCCCTGCGTTGTGTAGCAACTGGTGTTGCTGGTTGCTTGCTCTGCTGTGCTGGTGTACCAGGAGCAGGTGTTCCTGGTGTGCCGGGTGCAGGTGTCGAAGGATTGGGCGTTCTCAATCCTTCGGGGGGTCCTCGAGGTGTTCCTGGGACCTTGCGATACACGGTGTGTGGATCAAGTGCCTGTTGCCGTGCAGATTGGCGTGTTGCCTGCCGTGCTGCTTCTGCTGCTGCCGGAGTCGGTGGAGCCTGCCTCGGGGCTTGTTCGATGATATCCAGATCATCTGGTGGGTCGCCCTCCTTGGTGACGTCCGTGTAGCCAAGCTTCTCGGGATGAAACCTTAGTCTTTCCTTGGCCTTCAGGAGGTCGGCCTCAATGACTTCTAGCCCTTGCTTTTCGAGGCATCCCATCTCAAACACCTGGCTCTTGTTGCATTTCCAGAGCTCTCCACGGCGGGTCACCCATACAGTATCGCCGCGCTGCAACACAACGAAGCACGGACCAACCTTTGCAACATTGCCACGTCGACCTTGTGGCCAAACGGAGACGGGGTCACCTTCCTTGAAGTGGTGGTCTTCTCGGGCTCTCCTGGGTCTGGCTCTGATGGCTCTTTGAACTCGTTCTTTGGCATCCACATCCATCAAGGCTTGACGAGCTGCCTTGCGGATCTCCTCAGAGCGGGACCAGGCGTCATCGGTGGTCATGCTGTACTCAAACTGTCGGGCGTCACTGAGGAGGTCGAGGCCAAGGCTAGGTTGCTTGCCAAAGACTCTCTGAGCTGGTGAGTAGCCAGATCTGTTCGTCATAGTTTGAAGTGCCCAAGAGACCTCATGAACCAAATCTTGAACTTCTTCAATCGTGGCAGGTTGCTGGAGCTCACGGGTGCGGTAGTACACCTCTTTGAACAGGCCACCTCTTCTCTCAGTCACTCCATTCTGATATGGAGCATCCCTGTCAATCAGCAATGGCTGGATGCCATGTGACTCGAGCATGGAGATGAAGTGCCCTTGGAACTCCAAGCCTTGATCCATCAGCACGAAGGACGGTGCACCGAAGGTTCGAAGCCATACGGAGAGAAACTTGCTCCACACCAACTCTGAGCCTCTCCGAGTAGGATGCACCATGCTGAAAGTGGAATACAAAGTTCCAAGGCATGTGACGTTCAAGATTGGATGCTCGGTGGTGTGACTGAGGCCATGCACAAACAACAAATCAATTCCCAGCGCCACATTGAAGTCATAGGTGCGGGGCATTGATGCAGGAAGTCTCGTGGGCTGTCGTTTCTCTTTGAGGCATCCTTCGCGCGTGAACTCCTTGAGCACATACTGCACCACATCATTTCTGCTGCCGGCTGCCTTGAGAAGCCTCACAAACTCTTTAACTCCAGGGTGTCCCAAATTGACGTGGGCTCGGAGGATCATCTGCTTCTCGGCGGCCGTCAGGCCAGAAGACTCAGCAAAGCTCCAGGTCAGCTCTGGGTGAGTGTAGAGGATGACCACAAAGGGATAGGAAACCTCAAATGGAGAAGTCTTCCCAGAGCTGCCCTGCTCGAATTGAATCCACTTGCCATCCAGCACTCCTTTCACCCAAGTCCACCGGAGACATCGGTGATCAGGTCCTTGTAATGGAACTTGATGTTGTAGGGGCTTACGGAGCACCAGAATGGCATCGTCATTGAAAGATCGCCACTGCTGCCATTCTCGTGGGCGGAGTTCATCGACCCACTGGTTCAAGTCACCTGTGTCAGGGAGTCGTTTGGGTCGTCCTTTCTGTGTGTTCACCCAGCTCTGAACCAAACCATCAATGATTGCTCGCACCAAGGCTGGAGGGTATTCTTGAGCACAATGTGGTAGTCCACCAATCAAGGACTCATGAGGTTGCTGGCAGTTGCATAGTCGCTGGAGGTTGATGGCAATCTCATCATTGGTCGTGGCAAAGAGTGTTGCTTTGCGATTCAAGCCACCTTCTCCAACTTTGAGTCCAAATCTGCTCAAAGATGGCTCTTCACGAGGATCACCTGTTCGTGCTGCAAGTAGTTTTGAACCTTGGGCAACAGCCATGAAGTGGCCGTGTCTGGGTGTTCATGGAGTCCATCTCCTCCACGTGACAGCTGCTCCTCCTGCATGTCCATCGAAAAGTTGAGGTGTCGCTTTGCCTCAGGTAGCTCCTCCATCAACCGTTCTGGATGTGGTCGAATGTTCTGGAGCGGTGAGAACTTCGTGCAAGGAGGAGTCGTGGTCAAAAGTCGCGGTCTCCGCCGCCTCAGCTCCTGTCGAACCCATTCTTGTTGGTCCTTCTTGTTCATGTCATACCCAGTGACGAGGTCGATGGACAAGCTTGCTTTCAGACCTCTCTTTTGGGCTTCTTCCACAAGTCGTGGAGGGCTGTAGAGCTCGACGACGGAGTCATTCTCTTCAGAGAGGCCACCATAGATCTCGGCAATGTCGTCTGGTTCATCAAGTTGCTTTTCCCAAAGGGTCCAATAGGCTTCCTGGCCTCCAAGGAAGTCATCCAGACTTCTCATAATCTCGCCCTTTGTCGACTTTGCCAAGGTGGTCTCATTCTCATAGAGCTCGGAGTCGGTCAGGTACTCCAAGAATTCAGGCATGAACTCATAGAGGATCAAACATGGAGTTTCCATTCCAAGGTTGTAGTCTTCACCAGGCACCTGGGACACATGCACTGCGTTCCAGTGATCATCGCACTTGGTCAAAATGACCTTTCGGCTAAGGAAGGCCCTGGTGATGACAGGCGAAACTCCGCGGACACATTCACCACGAAACGTGGTTACATAGGTTGCCGCTTGATCCAAGTCCAAAGTGGACATCACCTTCTGGAAGCGACTGTCATCGTGCAACGAGGTGACATCCAACCAGCTAGTCGTTGTGCAGGAGGTTGATGTTGAATCGTCCCATTCTGGCATAGGCTACTGGCATCTCGAAGAGGAATGCTGCCAGGCCACACTGCTCCTCCATGCACTGGATCTCCACGTCCTCCGGGTTGGTTGAGTCTTTGATCACCAACATCTCCTTGCTGTTGCATCGAGGACAGATCATCGTGCCATATGCCGGTTGGACGTGGTCGTTCAGGTCGCCCCAATGGTGCTCGCATCTCATGTTGTCGCACTTCCAAAGGAGGTTCATCGAGGGGACATGGCGACAGAGCGTGACCATGCCCGTGTGGCACACGTCGCAAGACTGGGAATGTGCTTGTCGTTGAATCTCCACCATCGCCACACCCTGGTCGCCGATCATCGCTGCAGTCTGGCCCATCTTCAGCAGGTCGTCCGCCACCACATCGCACCATGAGTTCTGGTCCTCCCTGATCTCGTCCAGATCCTGCTTGATCTCCTGTTTGACCATCGGTGGTCGTGCCTTGGACTTGTAGGCCATGGCTCTGGATGAGCTCTTTGGAGTGGGCTGGAGGCATCGCTCGAACCTTTCTTGCTCTTGGTGGACTTCTTCCTGACGTCGTAGAAGACGTCCGGGATGTAGACCAGGTTCTGGTTCCAGTTGTGCAGTTCGGTGATCGGGGTCAATGGCATGATCTGCTTCTGCTGGCACTGATTGCACTCCTGCCATGAGAGGACTCGGTTGGCTGCATGCTTCACTTCTGCTTCCGGGTGAGTGCAACCCGGTGAAGGTTCCAAGGCAGGGACCAGGAATCTGCCCTGTCCTTTCACCATTGCCAGTGGTCGGACTCTCTCCTCCCGTCGTGCCATTGCCAGGGATCCAGTCAAAGCCGATGGTGTCGTGACGTGAGCTTCGGCTGGAACTCGCTGTTCCTCCTGGGCCAATTGGAAGGCTCGTTGCTCCGTTGTAGCCAGCGGACTTCTCGAAGTTGGGGTGTTCGCACAACTTCCTGGAGCACTTGCCAAGCTTGAAGGGAGGCCGATAGTAGAAAGCGCAGCAACAAGCGCCGCCAGCGGCACCATAGCTGCTGGATAGTGCGACAGGGCATCCAGCATAGCCCAGTCGGGAATGGGCTCGACCGACCAAGCTTGGCTGGAACTTGCTGCAAAATTCGAAGGCACATTGAAACCATTCTTGCCAAAATCAATGATGGAAACCGAGACGTGGCCTGATGACAATCTTCTCATGTTTTGACTTGTTGCTAACTTTGTGTACCAAATAACAGCATGCTCCATGTCAATGACGGCTCCGACGTTCGAGAGGAAGTAGGCAGGAATGAGGAAAGGTATTGTTCCGGGGACCACCTGAACACGAAGTACACCTGACTTGCCCCCGAGACCGATTGGCACATAGGCAATGGATGTGCTTTCCTCCTTCCCGCAAACACCACGAACACTACCTCCGGCTTCATGAGACCATTGAACGCGCAAACCAAATCTTTCTTGTAGGAGGGTGTCATGCTGCTCCAAGGTTTCACGACCGACCAATCCATGTTGGGCAGCTGTATCAACCAAAGCGGTGCCCTGATCTTCATGAACCGCTAGAAAAACAAAGCTCAAGCCAGTGAACTCAGCTGCAATGTATTTGCTCTTGGTTTCAAGCTCAGTGGTGGTCGTGAGAAAGGCCCCTGCCAGTTTAGCAGGTGGCTGAATGAAAAAGCCGGTACTCATGCCGGCGCTCATGGCGCCCGTGGAACTTGAACTTCTCGAAGTCGGTGAAGTGGTCTTAGCCCGGTGTGGGCATTCTTTGCTCCAATGGCCAACCTGCTTGCAAGTGTGGCAGCGGGTTTTGGCCTTCAAGTCATTCAGGCTCATGCGGGATCCGGTTCTTGTCCATGGTCGGTCGTATCCACGACCGTTGCGGCTAGCTTGCAAAAGGCGTCTATGCTCGAGGTAGCCGCCGCCCTTGCCAGAGCCAAAACTCGGTGCACCCTGGCCATAGGTCCGTGTGGGACTCTTGCTCTTCCCCTTCTTTCCTTTGCCCTTGAAGCCTTTTCCTTTGCTCTGCATGCGGTTCTGTGTCTCGTAGTAATTCTCCTCGATCTGGTTGGAAACCGCTTCCAGAGCATCAGCCTCATCCATGATGACGGGCAATTCATCTTGGAAGACCATTTGCGCTTCTTCGTTCTCATTCATGCAAATCAGGTCCTCGAAGGGGTCCATCAGCTCAGACTCGAAGACGTCATAGTCCCAGTCCTCATCTTCAATCTCTCCATCTTCATTGTCACCCCAGTAGGTGGCACTTCGCCATCGCCGATGAGGTGCTCCATGGTCTTGGGAGAGTTCGTCAAGGCGGTCACCAAAGACCTTCTGGATAGCCATCTCGATCTCCCGAAAGTCGATTGATCCATTGGTCACGACCTTCAACCTCTGGCGTTGATCTTGGCTGAATGACCCTTGGCGAAGGATCAGATGGCCAAGAAGATGTCTTCCAGCTGGCGTCGCCAAGAGGTCGAGGCCTTGTTTTCTCAACTCTGCAAATGCCGCCTTCTTGTTCGTCAGGAAGGTGGTCAGGGACATTCCTTTGTCTCGGCGGCCTCGAAAGATGGCTTCGTCAAAAGCCTGCTCCAAACGTTGATCCTTGAGGTACTCATGGGCGTCCTCGATGATCTGAACGATCGTCTTGTGCCCGGTGTCCGAGCAAATCTCTTCCACCGTCAGGTGGGCAACCAAGGAGCTCAGGCGTGAGCCCAAAGGGATGGCATCGATGATGCGCTTGCCAATCAAATTCAAAGGCAACCTCGCCTCTGCCTCCACCAGCCACAGCTGTAAATTTCTCTGGTACTCGCGGAACTGCTTCTCTGGCATCTCGCCGCCCCAACTCGGAGCAGGGTCAAGGCGGTAGTCCACATGCTTCTTGGGTTCCCGGCCTTCATTGCCGGACTTCGGAGTGGCAGGATGCGAAGGCATTCGAGGCGGTGTAGTAGCCAGCCTGGGCGGACCAGTGAGAGCTCTGCTCCATGGATCTTCTGGCTCATCATGGAGTCCCGGGTCAGCGGGTTGAGATTCTCCCAAAGGTCGTTGGGGACTATGCGGAGGCATGGGTGTAGCCGTCGGCGGAGTGGGGGATGTACCGGATGGGTTCATCGATGAAGTGGCTCCAGTCCCACACCAAGTCCTAGCTGGCGGTGGCATTCCACCAAGGGCCAATGGCCGAAAACAAGGAACAAACTTCCCAGCGCAACCTGGTAATCGAAGGGCTCCAAGAAATAGTAACTTCCCCAAAATCCCTGGGTAGAACCACCGGGAGAACGCGGTCCAAACAAAGCGTCGAGCAGCCGGGGGGCGTCCCCCCCGAGACCAACTCAAACACGTCCTCGCGGGAGCCCCAGTCGTCACCGGGGCTCCGCTACCACTGTTGAGCCGCACGAAGAAAGGCTCTTTTCCTCGCCATGAACGGAAGGGGCTCAAGGCGCCTGTGAACAGCGCGTCCACGTTGGGCCAAATGGTGGCCGGAGAGAAAGGTGTAAAGGGACAGGGGACATGAGCTTCAAGTACATGGAATGATCTTTCACACAGAAAAACCAAACCCGAAAACAGAACAAGTAGTACTACCGCAGGCCCCTGTTCTGAAACCAAACCACGCGACGTCGAGACCGTCGGTCCTGGAGCTTGATACTACAGGCCGCGATGTTGAGGCGACAGTCAATGCGCAGCTGTCGACACCTGAGGACGACCGAAAGTCGGACCAGGCGACAAGGAAACGGGGAGTGGGGCCGACACGTCTCAAGTACAGTAATGCTTTTGGCTGCCTCTAGTGCCTCTAGTGTCATACCTATCTGTTTGAGTCTTTGACTACCATACCAACATGCTGACTGTGGTTTCTGCACGTCTCAAGACCAACTGCTCCAAGCCGAATCGGCCTGCCCCCCTTCCACCCGCCCGCTTGGCCGCAGGCTCTTGCCACAGGTCCTCCTTCCCCAGAAAGCGGTCCTTGACTTTGGGACGATCCAGGTGGTGAAAAAGATCACAAATCTCAAAGTACCTGGCACAAAGGCTGGCAAACATCATCCAATGCACTGCAGGGAAAAACAACTAGCCTACAATGTAAAAATGTAAAAACCAAAAATTAATAAACGGCCAGCACTACAGCCAGCCTACATCCTGTTAGGATCGTATTTGCAAGAAATTTCTGCAAACATCAGCTAGCAACAAAAATTGATGTGCGAGTTGCTGCAAACTACAAACATTTATCAAAGTCACAGGACATGCCTCCCCATATTGGGGACCTAAACGGATTCCGCTTTTTGTTGCTTCCAGTAGCACCAGGCAGATCAGGCGCCACATCGATCAAATACTACAGAAGTAACAGGTAAAATATGGTAACATGTTGCCTCCTAGTCACCACACTGCATTCACTGAAACGTTCACTGAACATTCACTGAAACAGCTGTCAATGTGTCAAACGGCTGTCAATGTGGCTTCCGGCCAAAGAGCGGCTGTCCAAAGCCGCTTCCGGCCAAACGCCCTGTATGTTCTCCTTACGCACATATATATATATATAATATATATATATATTGTATCATATCCATCAGGGTCAACGCTGGCTTGGTGGAGGGTCTCTCAAGGGAAACTCGGAAACTTCCACTATACATCACTATACTACTTATCTATCCTATATACTCATCTCCTGATGCTCTAGAATCAACACCCACGGCGTTCTTCTGCCACCCCAGCGCGCCCCCCCTAACCTCGACTCCTCCGCCCGCCTTTGCCGCGAGAGCCGATAGCGACCTTCCTTGAAGAGCCGATTCGCCTCCGCCTTGCAAGCCCCGGTTGCTCCAGTAGCTCCGGTGCTGTTGGAGCGACCAGATTGTGACCGGGTGTAGAGTGGGGACTTCCAGGCCGGTTCGGTGTGGAAAGGGGTCAGATGCATCTGTTATCTTGGTGCATATGTTTGCTCGTGTCCCACGATGTTTGAAAACGGGTTTAACCCCAGGTTCTTAAAACTGTTGTTGGCCACCTTGAGCTGCATACCGACAAACCCAAGAGTTAGCATGATGTCGCCAGGCATGTCTTCCCAACCCTGTATATAGTACCCACCTTCGTTACTTCCGGACTCATGGCATGAACTTCAAGGAGTGGCAATCGTGTCTGGCCTTGCGTCTCAAAGCAAAGGTCAACCGATCCTCCTCATCAAAGGACAAGGCCTCATGAATAGGACTCCATAACAGAGTCAATGCGGGTCAACGCAGGTTTGGGTGCTTCGGGATCGATTCCAACCTGCGATTCCATTGCAACGTTGCATCGCAACACCCCTTAAAGTGTCTGCAAACCGCCTATGACAAAACATGACATCGACAAAAAGATACAAAAAGTCACAGGAGGATACAGGAGGAACATCAATGTGCCTGGCTGCAGGGTCTCTTGAAAGGTGCATAGTGCAGGCAGATGTGAAACACATCATCATCGATGCACAAAACCGGTGCAGCCTGTGCTGGCTACATCGCGGCATGCAGGAGTTACCGGCTACAGTCCTCTGTGATTCCACAACCAGGCCTACTCTTTGCAGGTGCACCTGTCATTACCCATACACTCCATGCCTACATTGAGCACCACCCCAATGTAGCCATATATGGCAGTCCCATGGAGTCTATGGGTTATGGACTCATCCTGACGGGACAGAAATGGCTCCAAGGCACATCAGGTCCAGGATTGAAGTCCACCAGACTGACTCTCAGCAGATAGGCCGAGCTCCTCAGTGCTTTTTTCGGTTGGCGTGTGATGGACCCACACGTCATGTGGCGGCTAAGCTTGCATATATTCCTACGATCTGGACCAAAGTTGTGGTTATACATGTGAGTTGCCTCATGTTACAACTGTTGTTGAACAAGGACAACCTCCTTGAAATAGTTTTCTCACAAAAACGCATGCCCAATAGACCTCTAACTGATGCATAGACATTTTGTCCACAAGTTTCTTTTGAGACGGCGATCGCCTATGAAGCTACAAGTTCCTATCACCTACACCGGGCCCTGAGCAGCAAACTTTGGTATTGCTTTCTCGCCCAAAGGCTTGCCCACCAAGAAGGACGGATCGCTGCCTTTGGTGTCGCCGTCAGGACGGGGTGAAAACATGTTGTCGTTTGTAAAGGAGATGGATCTCGAACGCCTGAAAGTATCAGCATCAAGCAGTATGTAGGTATATACAGTAAACAGTATTTCAACGGTCCAATTTTGCAAGCATGCAAAGTGTCGATGGTTCATATGGCTTGCCTAAAATATGTTGAAGCATTCAAACTTCAAACCGTTTGGCATAACAAGTCATGCCAGGACTCTCTCTTCTATTTCTTTGAACGCTGCATATCACTCGTTGATTCACCTATCTGCCGGCATCCGAGCCAAGTCGACTCGTGGTGTTTTGCAGGTCGACTCGAAGGTGTAACCACGAAGATCTTCGTCTTCAGGACTCATCTACACAAATTATGTCAAACATGGCACCCAAACCCTGACCGATACCTGTAGAAACTGACCGATACCTGTAGAAAGTGGGGATCCTGGCAAAAAAAACTGTCATAAGCCTGTCTGTTCAAGGGTTTGCACCTCGTCAAGCTGACCTAGCTCAGCTCTCAAAGCAACATCACCTGCAAAACCTGTGGCTGCACATGAAAAAAGAATCCCGCAAAAGCTCCTTGCTTCGACTTTTGGTGCGTAGAAGAAGACATGCAGTATTCTGACTTACCACCCACTGTAAGCACCTCCCCAAGAAATCCATAATCCAAAACCCAGCCCACATTTGACACACTTTTCCTTTTTGTGCCATCTTGGACCACTCCAGGCTGGGCCAAACCCCCAACCCCCTGCCCAACCGCCCAACCCCGTCTGGGCGGGTTCCCCCACAAGTGACCCAAGCAGTTTCATGCGGACGCATCTCCAGCCTGAGCTTCGATGAGACCATGGACAATCCAGGCAAAGTGAAGAAGTTGTGTCGGTGCGTATTTGCATGTATATATGGTTAGATTCCAATTCTTGTTGCCGGGTTCCATGTTGTTTTCCTGCTGAGTTCTGACAGCTTCCTCTACCAAGTGGTGGGGACCCAAGCTGGACAGCATGAATGCAAGCCATCCAACCGATGCACAGATGCACAGTTATGTACGTGGTACAAATGAACAACGAAGCAAGGCCGGGAACGATTCACTCCCTGAAGTTCGCACCGCAGCACCCACAAATCGGTGCCATGGTGTCATGCAAATCGGTGACCCGTTACCGGGTGTTCTGTTGAACATATTACATGACTTCCTGTCAACTTCAGTTCCACAAAGCCTTGCGCGGCCGTCCCAGTCTTTCCCAGTCTTCTGGTTAAGTCATCATATCAATCACGAGTCTGTCAATGTGAAACCCCAAATCCGCCGGGAAAGAGTCTGCGCGTTGGCGGCACGACGTGGCAAGAACGGGGATCCGAACACGGCGCACTCGAGCGCGTCACAGACCTGGCAAGTTTTCGTGAATGGACCATGATCATCTAGGTGAGTAGGTCTATCAATTGGATAATGGGAGAATCAAACAAGCAATGTGGAAAGTGTCATTATTGAACAAAAGTGCAATGAATCTGTAACCCAAGAGTTCCCAAGTTCCGGAGGCTTTGCAGCACCACAAAGCGCCCCTTGTTCAGGTGACAAAAGAGTCTACGTGTCCACGTTGGACGGGACACCCCCTGAAATTGAAAGGCAAAATGGTGCGAACAAAACTATATATTCCAACAGGACCAACCTGCCCCGGTGCACTTGGGAGTTGTGGCCCGATCATCATTTCCGGGGACAGGCCGTCGGGACTGCCGTCGATCCCGCCTCACCATCACCCACGGTGATACACAATTCCAACCTGAGCATCAAAGGACTTGAGCCGGGGCCTCCAAGTGAAGAAAACAAAGGGACAGGGACCCGTCAGCCGCCCTAACCAAACCTTAGGTGCTGCTGGGTCTTAGAAGCTGCAAGCCTCATGCCCAGGACCACTGGAGCACACAAAATTGAGATCAAGTGCACTGCCTTTTCTTCCATAAGAGCCGCAGTCAGTGTTTTCACAAAGGTCACCTTTGTGTGTTTACACAGTCTTCACATGCAAGGGATAATATGTCTCCAATGAATTCTCAACCAATGGGTGCTCAGTGCTCAGCTTCTCTTCAGACCTGACATATTTCCATCCCCGTTGAAATAAAGGGGGAGGGGTTGGGGCCATTTTGTAAGGGCATCAGGGTTGGGGATATATATTCATCAAACTACGCCATTCTGTAGAGGACAATTCAACGGGGATATGGTTTCTCCCTTTTTTTTGCCACAACTCCCATCTTCGATCATCTTCGCAGTCCCGCGGGTTGACACGAACCGTTTCGGCATCCCGGCGGAGATGCTCCAGCGTCAGGGAAGAGACATCGGCCTGACATCGGTGGTACAAGTTGGAAGTGACAAGGAAGGGGTGATGGCACGGACGGAAAACCCCTCCGAAACGACACAAAGACAGCCAGCTTCTGAATTCGCGTTCTTTTTTTTCTTTTCGAGAATCCCCTTACACAAACGTGAGGCGTCAGAAACCGAGGATCAAACCAAGTAGAATTAGAAGTCGTAAATGCTCTATTCGTTGTACTCGTGCCGTTCCAGTGAGCCAAATGATCTACACCATCTCTGCTGCCACTAACAAAGTACATTGAAACAAATAAATACACCCACCACAATGTCAGGTAAGTGGACAGGTCTGAGCCTAAATCGTTCTTTTTGCTCACCAGAATATAAACAATACGACTGATGCCCTTCATGTCGTACCAAGCGCTGGGGCCCCACACCCTCATGTGTCTGGACCTTCTCAATGCGAAGCACAGCCATCCCTGACCCAAAGGAAATGAGTGAACGAGGAGATGGGTGGGCCACATTGGAAGCGAAGAAATTTAACAGTTATCAAGCTTGTGTATGAACATGTTCTTTGATTAAGGGTAGTCCAAGACGACATCCAAAAGGAGCTGCCTTTAGACTATATAAATTTGAGCGTGGCTCATTTCATGTTGGTGCAAGTCATGAATAGAGGTCGCCAAGCAGGTCAGTTGGATTTGGGTCACAGGCTTGGAAAGAATAAACACAGGTAGATAGGCTTAGGGAGATTCTATGAGAACATCAATGACCACAACTCATCCGCAAGGGCAGCAGTAAGCAACGTAACCGTCCTCAACGGTCCTACCTATGGATCCTTCCTTTCGGGTCCTTTAGCCCCCGAATGCAAAACACTTCAGGCCGAAGGGTCCCAGGTGATGAAGAGTCCCAGGTGTTCGTCAGTTTGGCTCAAGAAGGAAGCTGCACCAGTCTCATCTTCACTGCTTGAGGCATCTTCAGGGGGGTAAGTTGAGGTTCTTTGTCTCTCTCATCCCCTCTTCCAGAAGCTGTCTTTGCGGGTGGGACCCTCCTCAGACTGACCAAGAAAAAAGGCACTCAAGGATCTCCAAGCCACAAGCTGCCCAACAGCTCTGTGCCTTCATCGGAAGGATTATTGCACCAGGAGCCCACCCCGTCTTTGATCACCTGGAAAGCGGGTCGAGCTGGGAAGGGCACGCCTGTAGCGGAAGGCTTTCCGAGACTCTCTTGGCCAACTGAACATAATTGCTCTTTAACAGAGGGCTGCCATGGGACCAAATTGTTATTTTTGATACGCATCACTGTTCTCACACATGCTTTTGGATGATTTTGCATCGTGTCCAGTTCTTCATTTCACCAGTTAGCACCTAAGCTTCTCAATCCGTTGCAGCTGAGGTGTACCAGGACTCCTTCCCAAACGTCCGGAGACCCCCAAAATGGGTGTCACTGCATTTCACCCGTCCGGTCCGTGGCTACGACGACTGGGGAGACCCCTGAAGCGACGGTGTCTTGCCATGAAAAGTCCGAAGATTGCCCTATCTATCCACACCAAACCAATGGGACTGGGAGAGTCCTGGGAGAGTTCTTTTCTTTGTTTGTACATACTAGGATCATTTAGGAACACGTTTACCCCCTTTTACGACCCTCATGTAAGTGAAAATTCCATAACAACATATATAGTCTGTGAATGTCTGGCCTGCCTGGTGTTTTTTCTTCACGAAGGCTCCGTCTCCCCCCCAGTCTCCGTCGGACCGAGGCCCAGAAAGCGCAGGGAAAGCGCCTCTTTGAGAACTTGTCCAGTGCTGTTCCTGAAGGAACAATCCTGCCGGGCAGCAAGGGGGGGACGATTGGTGACTAATTAGTGACTTTGCTGTCCACCCCAATGCAATGCAGATTGAACTCTAAAACCATTGGTGTGTGCGTGTGTGGACATGGACATATGCTTGGAAACACGTCTCCAAAAGAAATTCAGAAAGCTCTGACTCAAAGCTGAAACAGCCCGTGACCGAGTTGGGAGTCAACAACTGGGGTCTACTTTCTCTGCTCCGATTTGAGCGAACACCAGCGACAATGGAGAGCAAAGACCAGCCTACGAACCACCATACTGCATGGTGCCAAGTGAAAGGAACGAGCAAGTTGTGTCCCGAACAACTGGGAGTTCTTGAGGTTTGTTCTGCCTGCCCCTCTCTTTTTAGAAGCACCTATATCCTATATTGTCTATCCACATTACGTTCACTGATGCTCATCCGATATCATTTGGGGACGCGACAGTGAAGATACCATGATCAACCGACTGCCAATTCCTGCCTTGGTCACATAAATCTCCAACAAGCTGACCTGCCAAATGCGACAATAACACATCACAAAACATCACAACAACTCACAAGCATTCACCTGCTGCAATCTTGTGTTAAACTAAATATGTATATCTTAGTCTTCGGGTGGCCGGACAGCCCCCATCTGCCTAAACCCCAGTCTGCCTCGATGTCAAAGACTGTCAGACACCAGCTTCCACCCACAAAAGGACACCTCCATGTCCACACCATATTAATGAGAAAACACAATGCATAATCTTGATTTAACACAAACAATTTCTTTAAAGAACAAAGACAAACAAACAATAGGAGTGAAACACCTCTTCCTATATATCAAGATTCTAGATTACACCCGCCCTATCATACCCTATCTTTCTTTGGATCCACGAACATTCTAGAAGGTTGTCGTTGGCACTCAAACAACTTACCTGCGGATCATGTGTTTGGTCTTTTTCCCTCCTAAATGGAAATAACAGCAACTCTTGATCATCTTGACATCAGGGCTGAGGGCTAGGTGAGCCACATTTGTGTAACAGCCAAGCCGGATCTCATTGATACATTAGCATCATCTTCTCGCATGCCTCGGTTTCAGCGTGGAAACTGTTCACCACCCTCGCCTCACAAACTGCTTCCTCTTGCGGGCCGTGTTGGGCAATGGCTGGAGCCTTGGATTTAAGGGACGAGAAACACCGCAAGACCTCACCGGGGGTTGCGGGGGCGCTGCGGGGTATATATCACCTTGAAATGGTTTAAAGTGATGCTTCACATAATCACCAAACTGAACCATTGCAGAACAAGGTTCGGCTTCACAGTTCTTGTAAACTGCAAGCATCGAATTGGGTATGATCACTTCGGAACTTTAGTTACCCAAAAAGGAAGGAGAGATCCGGACCCGTCTTGATACATCCATCTTAACATCAACTTACACTCCTGTATAAAGACATATTGAAACTGGTTTCTATCAATCTATATCTATTTGGGAATCTCTACAACAGAGTTGCTCGAATCAACGAAACACCCACAGTCAACCAGTGGAAATAGACTCAAGCCCTCCTCCAACTCTAGGTGCATGTGTAATAATACATACAGTACTACAGTACTGTTATTTACTACTGCACAAAGCAGAAACCATCCACATCTTCCTTCTCAGGCAGAAGTGATCATCCAACTGCCGCAGTCTGAACCAGTGGACCAAGAGAGGACCCCTGGCTTCAGTCATTTCAATGATTATAGCTTCCGACTCGAGTGCCGAAGAGTCCTGAAGCTTCAAATGATCAAGGATTATCTTCAACCCGTGAAGAGCGGCCACTCCAATTCTTGTAACAGAGTCCGGAATAGTCAAACTCGTCTAAGACACGCCTTGAAAGGCTCCAGGTCCCATCTCAGTTGGGCTTGAAACGAATTAAGCTGATCAAGGAGCTACAGCCACACGCTAACCGTCCAATCTCCATCGCAGAGTCGGGAATTGTCAAGCTGGTCAAAGAGCTGCAACCTTAAAAGGCTCTGGGTCTAATTATTTTAAGTTACAGAGTCTGGAGTCTGGATGTGTAAAGAACAGCAGTCATTGAAGGCGTCTGCTACCATCTCTTCCACAAAGGCCGGAATTGTCAAACTGGTCAAATATCAGCAGCCATTGAAGGCGTCCAATCTCGGTCACAGAGTCTGGAATTGTCAAACTGGTCAAAGAGCTGCAGCCTTCAAAGGCCATGTCTTCAATCTTGGTCACAGAGTCCAGAATTGTCAAACTGGTCAAGGAGCTGCATTCTTGGAAGGCATTTAGCCCGATCTTGGTAACTGAGTTGGAAAAGGTCACCCGCCCCACAAGTGAGCAGAATCTGAAGGCGCCATCAGGAATGCTTGTCGTGCCTTCCGGATGTTTTTACCATGTACAAGTCCAAATCCTTTATTGTGCATCTCAGAAGCCTTGCATTCAACTAACAGCCTGCATCTTGGCTAGGCGGCTAGGCGGCTAGACCTTGACCCACACCCCTTTGAACATTTTAGAAGGATTTTTCTTGGATCATCTTTGCAATGATGCAGGTCTTCGACAAAGCTGTCTCCGCTTTTGTGCAGGTCCTCAGTTCCATCACGGGATCAACATGAACAGTGCTCCACACATAGCTGAAGACTCAAAGCAGCTTAGCTCAGGGAGTTCGGCATAAAACCTGAACCTCGACCCGACCGAAGAAGGCCGTTCGGTGACCGAGTAGGTTCCGGTGCACCCAAAGCGCCACGTTGAATGGGTTTCACCAACCCTACGCCCCTTGATTGTCAAGCCATGTCAAACCTATTGTCCCCCCAAGCGTGAGATTCTGTCTATGTACTAAACCATGAACAAATACGCAAGTGGAAACGAACAACATGGAAAAGAAAGGAAAACCAACGAACCGGTCCCTCTTCCTTAGTGCGAAGTGCTCACTAAATTGAGGGCCCCTTCGTCGGCTCATCTCTCACGACCTGCTCACGAGCGGCTCGGGTGGTGAAAACGGACACCCTTCAGACCTGCCCACCTCCACCGGCTGCACCGAGCTTCCCGGGCATTGGCTGGGAACAACTCCTTGAGCGGATGAGTCACCGACGCCTCGGTTCCCCCGAACTGCGCCGATGTCGCGGAGGCGAAAAGGGCCGGTTCATCGAAGGAAGCGGCTGGCCCAGTGATTCGACGTGAAGTGCATTGAATTGAAGTGTTGGGTGTTGGGTGTTTCCTTTTCTTCTGGTTGAAATTCATGATTCTAGCTATATATCAAAAACGACAATGGTGACTGCTGACTCTATACGAGCCAGCGTCAACAATCTTGAGGCTGCATTCATGGGTAAACTGGGGCGTCCCCTACATATTGTTTCTCACGGCGGCATAACACAAATTTAGTCAGAATGTTGGTCCAATGTGGACACAACCAGGATCCTAATCCTGAAGCCATTTGAACCCACGAGCCGTTGGTCAGCAACGACGGATGGGTAGCAGCAGCAGCAGCAGTGTAGCAGCAGCAGTAGCAGCAGCAGTAGCAGCTGCAAGCCACCACAAAACCAGCAGCCTAGCACACCAAGAGGGGCAGCAAGCCAGCAGCAGGAACACCGGCAAGCCGGCAGCAGCAGAGCAGCAAGCAAAAGCAACCAGCAGCAAAAGCAGCCAGCTAGCACCAGCAAAAGCAGCAGCAGCAGCAACAAGCCAGCAGCAGAGCAAGTGTACGTGTGGGGATCTCGTCATTTGGCTGAGAAAACCTACCTTGTGAGGTATCGTTCGGCCTATCGTTCGGGGTATCGTTGAAATCGCCCGTACATGGAAGCAAAAACGGATCCGCACTCTTTCCCGAGCTCTTCCCATGATTCTTCGGTGCTGAGTAGACCCCCACTGTGCAGGTCAAAACGACTCCAAGCTCTGACAACTCGGATCCTCCCATCTCACTGAGCTGGCAATGCAAGTCTATATAGAGGTATCGTTTTTTGGGTGTCCCCTATCATTTTTTAGGGAGAGAATACAACAGACACTAGCTGCGTGATGCTTCACCAAGTTAAAACTACATGACGATACTTTTGACTCTGACTCATATCTGGAGAAGCTGGGACTCGGGCCACTTGTCCTCGCCTCATCTGCACAAGCATTCCATCCAAAAGAGATGGGCAAACCTCTCCGGCTGGAAGTGGAGGCTGGGCCATGTCGCTGGAGAACTGGGGAATCTGGATGCATACCAAATACCCTAGGGCTCCTGGCCCCCCAAACCCACCCCAACTATTTTCTGGGTGGAGCTCTATAGGGATAGTGTAGGTCCTTTTTCACCATCAAAATGCGGACAGGATGGGACAGGCCTACTGTTGGCCCGCCTCTCGAGCTCACTATCGTTGAAAGGTTGAGTCCACTTCACCGTTGCCCTCAACACTGAGTCAACCGGAAGAACAAACCTCACCAAGGTTGTTGTGAGAGTGAAACCTGCAAGGACCAGAACCATTAAACCTGGCCACAGCCGAAACAAGAGTGTACAAGGCCCTGTTCCAGGATAAGTCGAAGTCGGACGAATGCCATCAACAAAGTCAGAAAACCAAACACAAACTCCTGAAATAGGGATTATTTTTGTAGGGATAGATCCGAAGCTCAAAAACGAAACCAGAATATCTGGTCCACATCTGATGCCGAGAGTTACGCATACTGGCAGTGGCAAACAGGCCATGCTAAAGGTAAAACACATAAAATAGAATGCACTCCGCCATGCTCTGCTAGTCTTTGAAAACCCAAACCTAGTCAGTGTTTCAAGAAAGGGGAAGCTACAATCATGTGTATGTATTTCAATGTCTCGAATTTGGTGATACTATACCATTGAAATTGATTCATCCAGGCAAAATTATGGGTCCACCATGCTTATCACACCAAGATCGGAGCTTCTTGCGCCATTGACATTGCGGTGACTCGCCAAACATCGGTGCACCTCGCCAGCTCCCAGTGCTTGTCCTCCTAGAACCTGCCAGTGAAGGAACACTTGGAGCATGATGGAGTTGTAAGCACGTACGGTATATATATAATTTTATATTATAGACATATAGAATCTTATAGATTTATAGATTGATATTAGGTGAGAATTGCAAACATGCTTGCTCATGCATTCTTCCTGAGGAAAACACATCAATAACAGTAGTCTTGAAAGGCGTCTGTTTTCAAGACCTGAATGTCTACAATTCATCCAAAGTTGCAACTACAAAAACTCAGCTATCGTGTTGTGAGTTACCGCCTTTCTCTTCCAGGTTTGCGCGTGTTCGACCTTCGATCTCCAGGGACCTTCGTCGGCGGAGTCGTCTAAGCTGCCCACATACTCAAAGTCCTCCTTCGCATCCAGCATTGAGGCATCCCGCACCAGCACCACGGCGTATCTCAGCTTCACCTCGTTGCAAAACGCCCAACACTGTGCCAAACACATCCAAAGACATAGAAACTATAAACACATGTATGCCTTAGCGCCGACAGTTGAAGCATCTTCACTAGAGTTCAACATTCATAATGTTCATAAGATCCATCAAACATTCGCACCAGCCTCGACATTCTTCTGGAAACTCACTGAAGATATACAAAAATATACTACAGTACATATAATTACAATACATATATATACATATAATGATATATAATGATATCAAGGCTTCTACTAAGAGTGGTCCACAGGGGCTTCAACAAACCGAAAAAAGACTCGCCACGAATTTCACAGCATTTTGCCAAACCTGATTAGCACGGCAAGCTCTGCGGACACCCAACCGTCATCACAACAGACTTGCCGGTCGCGTGTTCTGAGAGTGATCCCTTTTTTCCAAGCGATCGTGTTCAGGTGTTCAGCTGGGGGAGGGATATAGCAGGATGGAGGGATATAACTCAATGGTAATTTAACTTGTTAGAAACATCATGAATTGCCTTGCCCGAAATCGTCCTCCACAATTGAATCTTGGTGAGTCGGGAATGAAGACGCCCCATTGCCCCACAGTCGATCACAGAGCTGCAAGAGTCTTTAGCATCTCGCAAAACCAAATATCACCAAATCCTGAACGCAATGCAATTGGGTCAGGTGGTCACCCAACTTCTTCGGATTTATATAAACAAGAACCACTTCTTCTATAACGATCAGAACACACAGCTGACATCACTCTTTTTATCACGTCCACTACGTCCACCCTTCAGGGCACCAAAACAGCAGCGACGGCTGACCGAGCAGCGACCGTCTTGGGCGAGCTGAGGTCTCTGGCTGTTCCACCCAGCTGAGGCTTTCCTGGCGGCCAAAGGGACATCCCAAACAGGATGAAGATTTGTTTCGGACATGTTTTTCAGATTCTTTTCCGGATTTATTTTTCACGTGTTTGTTCCCTACTGCTTTTGCTTTTGCTTTTTGCTTTTGCTTCTGCTTGGAGTGCTTTACAAGCACTAGGAGCAGCAGACAGGGGACGAAGCACCAAAGCCAACGTAGCACTAGCAGCAGAAGCAAAAGCAAAAGCAAGAAGCAAAAAGCAAACGCAAAGGCAGAAGCAAACAGCAAAAGCAGAAGGAAAAACAAAAAGCAAAAGCAAGAAGCAAATGCAGAAGCAAAAGCAAAAAACAAAAAGTTGAAGCAAAAATAAAAGCAAAAGTAGAAGCAAAAAAAACAAAAGCAAAAGCAGTGGGGAAAAAACACAAAAAACAATATTATGGGAAAACAACACCGAAAAAAACACATCCCAGAGAAATACCGTTTCCCCGAAAAAACAGCAACGAACCGGCTGTTGCAGTAGCTGTTGCTATTTGCCTCTTCTCAGCAACTTCAAAGTCCAGTGACACCGTGACACCCTTGTTGGCTGGCTGCTGTTGTTGTTCTCTTCTGGAGCATGCTCACAGTGCTAAGCTCAAAAGTTGTTAATGTAGTAACATATTACATATTCAATGAACAGCCTTTTTAAATAGCTTCCACAAGGTTCCTGGTTCGTGAAAAAACTCAGTCGATACTGAATGTGATTGAATGCGTATACGAGACTTGAAGCAAAAGTATAAACGCAAAGTCCAAACATGTAACAGGTAAGCCTCTACGCCAACCACCCGCTGCACAGTGTTCAGACGTTTAAGTCTCCAAACAACCTCACCTCCAAAGCAATATTGGATAGTGATAGTGATGATAGTGAGATACCAACTGCCCACCCAGCCGCCCAGGACGCGGCAAAACAAAAAACATGCATGGCACGACGGTGTCCACTGCCATCTGCCACTGTGACCAAGTCAAAACGGCCAGGCGGCATCCTGCATGGATGTGCTGTCCAGGAACCGGGCACAAACAAAAATAGAAGGTATTTCACCCAATATGGAAAATAAACATCCCCCTAAGCAAAGCCGGTATCATCATCATCATCATCATCATCACCATCCCACGTCCAAGTCTTCAGCTTCATGTTGCTGCGCTGTTGTAGTTGTAGTTGTTGTTGGTGGTGGTAGTGGCGGGGGCGGGGGCGGGGGCGGCGGCGGTGGTGGTGGTGATGGTTCAAGAGACGGTGAACTCGCAAAGAAACATCATCTGCAAATACACTTCGATACGTTTGACACACGGAACATGTATGCTCCACAAGCCATCCTGCCGTTTTGGTGACTACCTTCTTGTCGCCCCTGCCTGGGTCCGCTCTTCACGCGGCTGTCCTGGCGTCGCTCAGTGACTCGGTTGAGGGTTCCCAGCAATCCGAAGGCGCAGGACTGACTGCATATACGACAGAACACCCAAAACATCCTACCGCGGGTTGGGAGAATTGGCCACGGCTTGTCACCGAGTGGCCAAATGTGCCTAATGGAAGTAGAGGCCTTAAATCGTGTTGGAGTAAGGATCTGACTAAGAACCTGGAAAGGATCTCTGTGAGTTTCCGAAACATGACGACTGTCTCGGAGCTTTCAGAATTCAGAAGAGAAATGAAAAGATGATGTTCAAGAGTGCTTGTTTGAAGCATCTGTGCCATGCTATACTGGCAAGAACCTTTTGTGACTGCACACCTTCATCCACAAAGAATAGGCATGCCATATCCCGGTACCCCCATGCCAAAAGACAAAGACACGTGTCATGCTGCTCACCGCCTCCTCCCTTTGCTGCTGTGCTTTCTCCATGTGCTTCCTGAGCACAACTGTGTGGGGTGGTCAAGCATGCGGCTGCGTAGTACTGCGGATGGATCAACAACCTGAAGCCCTATCAACAATTAAAACACAAAAAAAAACATCCACATGTGTTTGCCAGCTTTGCCAGAGGTTGGCGGTTGACTGGGAGTGATGACCTAGGGAGGAATGTCTTGAGATCATGTTAATGAGAGTCATCGCTTCCTGAGGCAATCACTTAAACTTCTCCACATCTTCCTTGAGATCGGCGATGCCACTGTCAGCACGCCTGAGTCACATGGGTCTTCATATGGGGCTTGCGCACTATCTTCGTGGGTGTGGATTGACGAGCCACTTCCATGAGGAGAAGATGTAGCCTCTTGTTCACCGCAAGTTTCAGGCACCCCGTGCGTCTGATCTCACCCACCCTGAGTGAGTGGGATATGGAAGTGCTACACAGGCGGCACTTCACCAATGAGAAAATGGTCTGAACATCCGTCAACAGTCTCATAAATCTCCCGTCGGTGACATGTTGAGAGTGACTTGCACCAGTTCTGAGGTATGCAACATGATGATAACCTTCTGCAACCCTGGAACCCTGATCTCTGATATGTCTGTCCAAACAAAAAAAAACATAGAAACTCAACACTGTAACACTAGGCCGATCACTCCCGGATCCCCTGCTCCCTGGCTCACCTCGAGAGCATCTCAGAGACCGCCTCTTGCCGCTCCAGGTCCTCCTAGACCCGACCACGGTCGGTGACCGGGGTTCCAATTTAGACCGGTTGTTGGTGCAAACAACCCCTTAGTGGGGACTAAAAAGACACCACTCCCGACTTCGTGAGAAAACCTGGTATGTCGGACTCTTCTCGATTCTCAATTGTGAGAAGAGATCTACCAAGATTCTGCGACTTCGTGAGAAGTCGAAGAACGAGCGACATCTGATGGTGACGATCTCTCAACGGTGGCGGATACAGCGCGGTCCACGAGCGTGTAGCTGGCGCTGGGTGGGGCAACGTCGAAGGTCTTCACACGCCTCAGGGCTCTCCAAGGACTTTGATGGGGCATCGCACAAATCCTCTGTGCACAACACTTTAAACCAACGGCTAACAAAAGAAACACGCTTTTCATTGAGGTATTCTCCAATATACTATTATGCATTTGTCGTTTGTTACAATGCTGACCATCAGTAGTCTGCTTTCAAGGTTGGCTTGCAAGAATTTTAAGCGAAAAGGACACCTGCAAAAAGAGACTATGTATATCTATGTATGGGTGTGTGGCTTTGTGGTTTGTGTTTTTGAGGTTCCGGGCTGGGGATGTTTGACTGCGGGATGGGGGCATGATACACGGCTACCGTAGTCTTGAAAACCACTTGGTTGATTGTCTCGGTCGAAGCTTTGCCTTCGCCCAGACCTGGAGGCTTCGTCCTCCCAGCGTCCAATATCCCCAACAAAGCAAGTGTCTGCATTGAACATGTCTCGGTTTCCCTCATTCCTCGCATATTAAAGTATATTCACGAATAATTACAAGAAACAAAAACAAAAACAAAAACATAGAGTATAATCAATTGTGTTGTATATGTGTTACATATACCTAGATCTTCAGTCCGGCACTTTTACAGGGTCCGGCGCCGGACTTCCAACTCCGGCGTTTTTCTGGATTTGGTCCGGCAGTTTTCCAAGCACTTTATGTGGATTCTCAAGGCTTTGCATTCTTATCCCCGTTGCTTGGACGGGTGACCCTGGCACCCCAGATGTTATAAGAAATCCTCGGTAAAAGCAACACCTTGGGAGTTATAAAATGGGTGGTCCTAGGTCCAGCAAGATACGCTGATTATTTATATAATCCTGTGGCTCAAGCATACTTTTGGCAGCGTGAAAGGCAAAGAATTCCGCGGGGGTTCCCCGGCGATGGCAGCACTCTATACTTATAAATTCCCGGCGCTGACGTCTCCCAAGTGCAAAAATAATATCAAAAATATATCTAGGTGGGCGAGCCGACTTTTTGGTGGGCGAGCCGTTTGTTTGCGAGGCCCCCCCACAGTTTTGGTGATTGGGTTTTGGATCATTTTGGCGAGCCAATGTGCTTGGCCGACGGGACTGGGTAGCTGAAGGATAATCTAACACGTAACCCTCTCCCGAGCAAATGTTCATGGAATTGGGCTGGTGGTTTTTTCGCGCGCATGGTTTTTCGTGTGTTGCATTGCCGCATTAATTCGTGCAACGAGGGAGGGGTCAGTGGATATCAAAACTGACAGTAGAATTCCTTTCTTTGCAGATCTCAGTGTTCCAGTGTTCCACCTTGCAGGTGAGAACACCCGCTTTCGGCCTCCAGGCCGTGAGCTTTTGCTTCATCTTGGAAGCAACAATTTGCGCAACAATTATGCCAAAATGGCTTCACGTTGGACAGCTCTAAGATCAGCTATATATGGCTATGAAATCCTGTAAGTGAAAGAGCTGTGAGAAAGACTTAAATCTTTATATTTTGCTGTGGTTTCACTCTTTATGAAATCCTGTTTTGAAAGCTGCTTTTCCATGCAACCTTTATGAAATCCTGTCGCTCTGGGTAAATATTGGAGCCAACCGGACAGATCAACAGTTATATAAAACGACCTCAACCCTCAGGCAAAAATAGTGCCCTAACAGACGGGGATCATTCTTTGTGGTCCGCATTTCTTTGAAGGTAAACCCACTACTGCCCACTACTGATGCAATGATTTTGCTTGCAAAGTGCGCTCGTTTGCCTGTTCCGCTGTTTTCTCATTCCACCGGTTTCAGCATGGTTCACACTGGATCAATCAGATCCGTTTAGGTGATCTTCTAAATGAATTCGGATGAAATCGGTACAGTGCGATGCACGTGTTGAAAGACCCAGGTGGGTGTACCTAAGCTGAAAGAACATATAGGCAAACATGTACTCCCATTGTTTCAGGATGTCGGGGCGCTGGGATATAGTTCTAGCTGCGCAGGTTTGCAGAGCCTGCCGGACAAGTTTTGGGCTGTGGAACATGTGTTGTTCAGAATCTCACTGTTTTGCAGAGAGTTGCTAAAAAAAATGCGCGGCGTAACTCCGGCGTAATTTCCTGTAACTCCGGCATAATTTCCCGTAACTCCGGCATTTTTTTGGACTCAGTCTTCTGAAGGATTGAGTTTTGAAAAGTTTTTCAATGAGTTTCGACAGGAACCATGAGTTCTGCTACTTTATTGGTGGGGCCGTCCTGAGGCAAGCGTTTGTGTTTTAGAACATAATAATCATGCAGATCAACCCACTTCGTTAAAGAAAGAACTCTAGAGACACGGTTGCAGAGAAATAGGGGCTCCTTGTCACATACTCATTGGTTTCTTCTTGGAAGTCTCTGCTTGGGCACACGTTTGCGAATATGTTGTGATGGTTCTGCTCTTAGGCCGTTCGGAAGATGGGCGAGGGCAATGGGAACGGGAAGGCTCCAGTGTTGGGTTGTGGAATGAGCGTGTTCCAGCAAAAACTATTCGTGGCACAAGGGCGGTTTGCTTGTGTATGATCCAACCTTTTATCATCTGTTTTTCAGAATCTTGGATCCGGATGTTTTTTCAGGTCTCCGGCGGTCTTTTTTCGGAATCCGGCGGAAAACTTTGCCGGATTGAGGTCCGGCACTTTTTTCCGCCCAAAGGAGGATCCAGGTATACAGTATATATATATATATATGTAATGTACAGTATACAAAGAGAGAGAGAGAGAGAAAAAAAACAAAAAGAAAAACACACACACAACTACAACACAGAAAAACAACATATTTGATTTTGGCTCTTGTCCATGCACCTCGCTCCAGTGATGGATTTCTACCCAGCTCAGTGTCCGGGCGCAGGCTGCGAGGCTGCCTCAAGCAGGTCCATGCTGAAAGTGGAGCGAAGCAGTTCGTTGGGTGATATGCAAATTGTTGGGCTGGCAAGGTGACATGGTCTAGCACTTGGAGATGAACCAGTCCAGTCCAGACCTTGAGTAATCACGGTTTTGAAAAAATCTTGAAAGCGTCGAGATGACACGCAACTTGACCGTGGAAACCTGTCTGGGAGACAAAAGACATTGAACTTAGTGGCACATGCCATACAAGCACCCAAGGCGTCCAAAGACGAAAGCCAAACTATCTCTCTGTCTACCTCTGAAATGAGTTCTGAGTTTTGCCCTTATCCTCATTTCTCATCAAAGTGGTCTTTTTGGGATAAAAACATACAGGGCTCCTCGCCTCCTGCGTTGCATTGATGCTGCCTGACAGCTTTGGACGCCAGTGGAAACCGTGGAGTCTGCATCGGCTCTTGGGCTGTCGGCGAGCCGTCGGCTCTTCGTTGGGTCCATCATCTTCCGGTCATATGGATACCCTCTCACTTGTTTTCGCCTTGGATACCCCAACCACAAATGACATCAAACCAACGTCACAATCCTTTTCAAAGTCATCCTAACGACAAGCAGCTCTCCCCCCATCGTCTGTGAACTGCACTGCCCCCATCGAATTTTCTAGGGTTTCGAGCTCTGAAGCTGGGCTGGATGTACATATTATATGTAGAATCTAGACCCTGAGTGACCTCTTTTTTTGGAACACCAACCACCCCAAAATATGATATTTTCCTATCAAAATAAAACAGATTTCTAGGTATGTGATGCTCTCTCTCTCTCTCGGCTCGAAATCAATTGCGTGAGGCAGTTTTCTATTTGGACTTCGGTGCAACTACAGTTACAGGGCGTTCTGAAAGGTTTCAAAAGGCTCGAGCTGCTCGTTAAGCTGACTTTTTCCAACATTGGATGTCCTTGGGCCTCAGTCATTACCACTTCAAGGCCGCTTAGCAATTGACATTTGCTATATACGTTGATTCTTGTGAGACAAACTAAGGTCCCCTCAGCGACAGATTCCCTGCCCATACAGGCCCAAACAGAAGGAATTTTGAGGATTGCCAACCTTTGCTATCAAGAGCAGCAGGATAATGTTGACTGTTGAAAGACTACATAAATCTACAAACGATTGATACATACTAACCGCTGTTCTCTCCGCCCCCAGTCAGATCCATGCACCTTCTATTCTATGTCGTCTTTCTCGGTCGCTCGACTCAAAGGACCAGCTCTCAGGCCCCTGGCGATTGCGACATGCTCGACATACTCCACGCCAGCAGGACATGTCTCTCCTGGGCCGTGGCAATAGATGGGCAGACATGGCGAGCGGGACATGGGCGGTGAGACATAACAAGTCCTTCTCAAACTTAGGCTCAATAGGATGCTCTGTTGGGGAGAAACAACATACAGTAACTGACCAATGAATGAATGCATTGGCTGATAACCATTTCGTTTCTACTGGAACAACTTCAAACAGGCGAAGCAGGTGTCTCCAAAAGCAACTGTGACTGGATGGAGCTCCTGGGTGCCACATCTTTTGGTCCAATCATGTCGACTTGGGTGACTGACCACGGATGACATATCCGTGAAAGGATTCAATCCCCTCGGTGGTGTTTGAGATTCCATTTGGATCAAAGGCAGAGAAATCAACACTTCAATCACAAAGGCCAGCTTCCAGACGATCTGTCCTTAGTTAGCACTCCGGCACATCGAGCTTCCCAGTATCTGAATTACCCGATCACCTCGTGCACCTCGTGTCATACCGTAGGTTCCCCCGGTCGATGCGGGACGCTTTTCACGCCTTGACTCGCTGGAACGGAGAGGCCGGAACACTGTACGCCGAGCGGCTTGGCCGCAAAGCAGCTGCGGCAAGCAAGCAAAGCAAGCACACCGCGAATGGTAAAGGACGTGTGGATCTTTCACCGTATTATGGCTTGTGATTATGTAATGCATCAATATCCACTGCCAGTAACCAACCATGCCATACAGACTGGAAACATCAAGGTGGAGCCCTTGTTTCAGAATTTGATTATCAAAGAGCACAAAGATCAGGCTGGATCTGAAAGATCGGAGATGCATTGAAGAGGATGACATCACAAATCTCTTGCCCCAAATGAATTTGGGCTCGAACTGGGCTTGACACCGGCATTGCAGTGACACAGTGTCTACATCTGCCAACTTGCTGCAAGACATTATAAGACATCCACATTCACTCATTCTAAGTCCTATGGATCCACATACCCTCTGATAGGGCGATGTGTTCAACACCATGGTATAATTTAGGGCTTGGAGGGTCCAGTCGTACCGAACCTGAGAAGGTCTGTGGATCCATCCCTATGAGGCCAGATGCGCCAAGCTGGCTCCGCTCATGTGGCTCCACTCTTTTCACCGCTCCGCTGCATCGCCTCCGACGCTTTCTCTGCCGTTTCGGTTCTTTCCGGCGGAGCGACTCGGTGACTCAGGGACCTTCGGCAGAACGACGCTTGGTGCACTGCAGTTCCGAAAGACACCCAGAACACGATAGGTCTCGTGGTTGCTGGATCATGCTATTCTGTTTTTGTGAGCATGTGCTCGAGCATGGAAGTCCATGATGCTTTTCGTAGGACCCACGAGTCACAGTCGACTTGCCTCGCAAGTATCACGCGACCCAGCTTAGGTTCCTCACTACTCACGATGTGCGACCGGCCAAAGCTTCGCACTTCCCAGCCGCGACTCACGCGACCGGGCAACGCCATGTGTCTGCAGCTTTCGTGAGCCCAATCTTCCGAAGGCATTGCCGCAAAGAGTATACACAAGCATCACAGAGACACGGATTCAATTTCATGATTGTTTTCCTTGATCTTATTATTTAATGTCCAAATGTTTTGTATGGCCCCAAATTCCTCTTGACCCAGCCCAAGCCTTGAAACGGTAGATTGATAACAGCCTCCGTTTGAACTAAACTAAACAGTGTCAGGTGATACAGGTGCGCCAAGACGTTCCTACCGTTGTAGGGTGGGGCACTCTGCATGATGTAAGCAGATACATAAAGACCGCAGCATTTACGCCACGTGTCGGCACGTAGCGGCATGCTCTCCTCAACTCTCTCAGTCTTTTTACCACAATCTGGAACCAGGTGTGTCTGAGAATAAGGGAATCTGCAGAATCCCAGCAACTCAGGTAGGGGGTTAGACTAATTATCAACCCTTCAACACTCCCTTCAATTAATTGGGTGACTCTCCTTTCTCGACACACCCACTTCTTTTGCGCGGCAGCTTCGCAGCGGCAATCCTGGGGTCAAACACTTTGGTCTGTGTCACCGGCCGCCGCCGCAGGGGCCCCTCATCCAGCAAGCAAATGGCATCCTTGGTGGAAAGGCCCTGGGTCTGCTGGTTCAGTTGGTTGTAATCTGCTCGATAGTCCTACCAGTCGGGACCTGCCGTGCTTGTTGTCTGTGGTCTTTACTCAGTCTACTGCGTTCTGCGGGAGTCTTCAAAGTCCAGACCGAAAGTGAGCTTTCTGCACAACGAGTCGATTCGGCTTCACCAAGCATCCACGCCTATGAGAAGTGGCATGTTGCGGCAAACTGAAGTGGTAGGAGGCCACTCACAATTGGTTACTTCTGACAGAGTCCCACTGAATGAACTATTGGCTCAGTAGGAATGCCCTGGCAAACAAGTCACACATCCCAACCCCAGTTCCTCTCTGTGGAACTCAAATCGATTTGAAGCCTGGAGGGATCACTCCATCACTCCATCCGCCACTCCTCCGAAAGCGGATGCCTCTTCACTCCACCAAGACGCAGGCGCCACGTGATTTGGGGCGAGTCATCGGCTTCTCAGGATGGATTTGGGAGGTGCCTTGGAGACATGAGTTTCGGGTGGAATCCCTAAGCTGCAGTGTCCCATGTAGAACCAAGTGAATGGATCACTGATGATGCTGAAAAATATGGTACACAAGACCTGGGCTTCAGGTGGTTTAGGAGGTTTAGGATTTCCTCCGCCAGTCAGTCATCATGGGGTAGTCGGAGGCATCACCAATCCCAAACACTACATGCATGGCCTATCTACATACATTGGGGTGAAACCACAAAGGTATATTTATATTGGCATTTATTCCACACGTTACATGGAGTGCCTGGGAAATTTTAGAGGGTCAGGACAGCTCCTTGTCGGATGGACGGAAACCGAGTCCTTACCGCAGCATCCGAACATCTGGGATTCCCACCTGGTGACCATGCAGCCAATAAACATGGGGGCGCTCACGTGCTGCGGCGAACCCAACGTGGCCATCGATCTACAGTAACCTGAGCCGCTAAGGTTGACCCGTTTCCACCTGTTGGGTTTGAGTAAGGAAACCAATCTTCCAAAAAGATGGGGCAGGTGATCTACTTTTCCTGGGTAAAAATTGCCAAACACCTGCATGGATGTTGGCACATATACTCAGTCTCCATGATCCACCATAATTCTGGGTCAACTAGGGGCTCCTGGCATCGCTACTAGGAGCAAGGACGCTACTAGGCACAGAAGGCCATGTTTCTTCACCGCTTTTGGACCGATCTCGCCCTCAGCCCTGGGACCCCGGCGGAGGGGCGTGGTGCCTGAAACTAGAAGAACTCGGACCCTCACGGGAACTCGGCTGCGTGTCGTCTGATCAATAGCGATGGCCTCCAACCTAATAGGAATGGCCTCCTTGTCCTGGTCAGGATTTAGCGGAGTGAACCTTCTGTTCCTGAATTTGGAGAACGACTGTCGCCGAATGTAGACCGGATTGATCAGATGGTCACAAATGGGGTTGTATGCAAAACATAAGTATATTATAACTAACATCATATCACATATCAATTGAGTCTTTTCGTAGCCATTTTACAGAACCACCAAGTGCACCACGAAAAAAACAAAAAACACTCCAAATGAAATGCGCACTAAGGTGACCCAGGTGGCTCGTGACCCGTGGCCATTCTTCCCTTACTGGACCACGTCATAGAGAGACCGTCCCGCAGCAACGCACAGTGAGAGACGGTCGCACAGTGGCTGTTGAGATGTGCTCATGGCATTTCCCTCTGAAGGAGTCTTCATCTTCTTTCCCCAACCAGGTATACATACTGTATAGGTTTACCATTTTTTTTATCAGGGGGGTTCTTACTTCTGCCAACATCTGGTCCTGCTTTTCGTGTTCTTCGTTGTTTCCCTTCCATGTCTTTGGACGGACGTGTCGAGATGTTTCCGCCTTCACCTCCAAGACTTCGAGGTCAGACTCAGCGGTCATGGTGGACTCCTCGTCCTGGTGATGGAGACCCACAAACGCACAGAAAAGATAAATAAAGAAGTGGAACTTCCGGTTCCGGAAGGTGTTTTTTTTTTCCCGAAACTCAGGGGGAAGTGACTGAAACATAATGAACGCGTTCCAGGTGTGGGTGGCTGATATGCCGGATTTTAGAGATGCATGAAGCAACATAGCGAGGCGTGTTGGGCAATATCTAAAGGCAGTGGAGATGAAGATCGTTCCAACTGCTAAGTTTGAAAAAGGCAGCTGATCTTGGTTTCAGGTTCCCAGTGTGTTTTCAGGTGGCTTTGGACACCAAGGATGGAACATCTGGTTGTCAAACTCATGGACAATCTTAAGGCGTCATTCATCTCTTCGGTGTTTTCCTGCAAAGCTCTTCAGCGGACCCTTCTGTGCGCTCGCCGGAGAACTCAACAGCACTGGTCTTGTGCAGTGCATCTATGCACAAGGTTGATCAGTAGGGGTGTGCACATGGCCCTCAGAAAAGCTTGTCATTGGCAACTTTCTGGGGCGAGGTTTCTGTGCACCCATGTCAACCTGTTGTCCTTGTCAAAGCTGTGGAAAAAGAAAGACATGGTGCCACTTTACAAAGTGCAGACTCCGTCAAATCCGCAGAAGTCCACACGGCTTTTGATCCGCAGAAGCCTAAGCGGACCATAAATCCGTTGGCGACCACAGGACGGCCGAAAATTCAACTGCCAGGCAATTAATATGCAAAGCTCTCAGTGTGGAGAGCCCTGGCATGGAAGCCAGCGGCAGTCCAAATCTCGCTGGCGGCCGCCTAGCAGAATTCATCGTCAAAACAGTGTAAATATGTAGAGAGAGAGAGTCATGTAGAGTCTGTAACTACCCCTAAAAACAGAACAGAAACCTTTCTCTGGCATCTGCAACATGAAAACATAACACGCTAAACCGCTAAATACTAAACACAGAAAGCTGGAATGTACAACTCGGAATCGATGAATCCGTGTGAATTCCAATGTGGAGTGGGCAGCTCTGGTTGAAGATTGCTTGTTGCTTTGCATTGCTCCATAAAGGTCTCAACAGTTACAAGCCCTGGTGATAATTTGAAACCCACACACCCAGAAAACGTCAGAAAGTTAGTTCTTTTTTTCAGAATAGATTATCAATGATCCGAAAGGTCTGTGTCTGCAAATAAATCTATTTATGAGTGCGAGAGTCCCATTGGGATACATCTCATCGAAAGGAAGATGTGCTCGAACAAATACTGCAAGCCCCAATCCAAAAGAATCTTGATTTGCATACCCCATACTACAGTCACAAGCTATATGGACATATGACATAAATAGTAACAAGAAGCTACGAACGGGGCTCCTGGCCTTACTACTAGGAGCAAGAACGCTACTAGGGGCTTCTGGCATCGCTACCGGACGTTTCCGGCCAACGGGCCCCACCGCATCGGTCGTCGTTTAGCCTCGAAGCTGCTTGGCCCACAGAGGAAGCCTTCCGTCTCATCCTTTTGCCTGAGACGGTGGGAGTAGGTGGGAGTCCAGCCAAGCTCAACTCAACTGGTGGTTTTTGGAGCCAACCATTCTTGCACGGTGAAAGTGAGCGGTTTAGTTTCAACATGTTTCAACTCCCTTGAAAAATGGAAGCCAGTGGCTCCAATCATCCCAAGTAAAGTAACAAAACATCTCTGATGCCCAACCCGTTCCAGCTTTGGAACGCAAATTCATCGGCCTAGCCTGGCGGCTAGGCCTAGCACGGACCCCTTCACCAGGCGACTCGGTGGAAGTCATGGCTCTCAGGGACCGGACCATGGCGACGAGGAAAATGGTTTTCTATTCGTGGGGCCTAGCCTAAAGACTCCGTTTCTATGGCATTTGATTATATACATCCCTATGGATCCACAGACCTTCTGAGAAGAAGGTGAGTGGAGACCGTTTATATCTATATTTATGACTGTTTCTTGTGTAAGTTTGGAGGGTGCTCTGGATGTTCTGCGCAGTGTTTTCTTTCTGACCGAGTTGCAAGGTCGAAAGATCCTTCAGTGCCTCAATCGACAAGCGCCCTGCTTCTGCACGCAGCCCTGCATGGCCTGGCAGATCTGTTCCGTATCTGCTGGACCCGTCATGGCACAGAGGGAATGTGGTTGACCACCGAACGTGAACCGACATGAATAGACTACCTACCAGTACCAGGGAGGTCAACCTACCAGGGTGACCAGGGCTCCAGGTTTTGACTCACAGCCAACTATGCTTAGATACCATGCACTGCTTAGATACCAGCATCTTCTTGACGCTTGTCAGCCGCTTGTCATGTTTTGGCCTTCGACAAACGTGACATGCCACATGTTGCATCGTTTCTTTGATATCTTCTATAGGTCAAATCAACGCACTGGATACACAACCCATTTCAGAACAAATCAACCAGCTGCCAACTGGTCCTCTGGTCCTCAACCAATCTTGGATACTCAACCAGTCAAGGCGAAACGGCGCACCAACAGCGTTTGAAGTCCAAAACCTGTACGCTTGGCACCTGCAGCTTGAAGCCAGGCATTGAACTCCTTGCTCTCACGCGCTGCATCGGGGCCCGTGAGGGACAAGACCATACGGGTGGTGATGCCGAGGTCAGTCAAGATCCGTACAGCAGAGATGAAGAACTCGAGGAATGCTGCCTTTGCCATTGAACCGATGAGGAGTCTCGAAAGGAAATGCTGCCATGTTCCACTAGATCCCTCACAAAACTGACGATGAGTCCCTGAATGCTGACTTATATAGAGAAAGAGAGACCAACTAGCTGTGTCAAATCATAATTTTGCTCAGTTTGATCTTCAACCTCCTCTCGAGCAATTTTTGTTGTTTTGTTCGAAGTTCAACATCAACGCTTTCCTATACAGAAACTTCCGGAGCTGACCTCGTTCAACTGGCGCACCGAGTGGAAAATGCTCAAGGTCAAAGGCCATGGTGTGGTTTCTGCCATGGCCTTCATCGCCTCACTTTGTCAGAAGCTGAAGGACAACCGCCCAATGGAGCAGGTTTCGGCGAAGTGGAAAACGGAACCACAGTTGAGGTTTGTACCAAGTGACACTTAGTGTCTTGAACTCCCAAGGAAAGGTTACTAGTGGTGGACACAAATGAAGAACTGAGGATCCGTGTGAACAAGTTTCTGTGGTCCGTGCATCAGTTCATCCAACACGTCTTCAGGGTGCACACAGCAACCCTGGATGCCTCAGACCCATGAAGTGTCAATGGCTGGCATGGCCAATCTTCTAGCGAAGTGCAAATCATGTCATCTCCCCGTTCCTTGTATACTGTTTTTCTTCTGAACAACTGGAACAACTGGCTTGTAGATCTTGCAGAAGTTAGGCAGCACTTTACCCAGTGACTAAGATGGTCCAATGGTTCTAGTTCGACCGTTTATCCCTTCTGCCCAGTCTCTGCCACTGCAGGAGTGGAGCCAATTCCTGCGGTCAGGAAGACCACGTTCGTGGGCGCCCTGCGACGAAGCTGCCCGCTGGCGTCCAGCTGGGGGCCGAACTCCCCGGCAAAGCCCAGGAAGTGCAACCGGGCGTGCTCGGCATCCTCGCGTGGTCGCTGCGGCGGTCGTTTGGACACAGCAGAGATAGTGATAGAGAGGGCGCGTAACGGCGTAGAGCGACTGCAGTGTTTGAAGAAGCTGAGATGTTTGCAAGTTGGAATGGCCTGTAACTTGGATTTGCTTAAGGAACCCTAAAACATATGAAATATATATATATACTATATTAATATATATATTGTATATAATATATATATATATTGTATAATATATATATATAAACCTTAAGCAAAACCAGGTGTAACTTGGAAACCCAACCTGATCATCCACGGGTTAAAAGAAAGGTCCATGGGTTGCAGTCATTGATTCATCGGCTGCTTTAAACACATCCAATACCAACCCTTTGAACCAAGGGCTAAAAGCATGCGCCAGCACAAACACATAAAAATAGTTAAAGTAAAAGGGTTGTGGTTTTGAAGAGCATGGCCTGCCCCGATGGACTGCCATGACCGAGCCACTTGGCTACTTTAGAAAAGGTTGGCTTTGAATGATCGTTGGAGAGAAGGGGATGAAGCGGGACACGGGGGGCGTGAAGATATATAGGACCTATTGCCGAGTAGGGCCAAACTGGATCCACATTTGAGGGGTCCGGGAGCATAACGAGCATAAAGTTGTCCAAAGTGTGATACAATAAGATCTTGGTTGAGGAACCAAACTGCCGCCCTGCCCTTGTGAAATGACCGCATCCTCCCATCCCTCTCCTTGGGGTTCAGCTCGTGGAGGAAGCTTGATGCCAAACCTCCAGGCTTATGCTTCACCGAGATCTGAAAGCGGCCATGATCCGCAAACCAACCTGCGACCACCGGGCATAGGTCCAATGCGAAGAATTCAAGGAGTCTTCGTACGTGAGGCTTTTTGCTTTTTGGGAGCCCAGCAGGCGATGTAGGAGGTTCCCAAGAGAAAGCAAAAAAGAACAAACTACATTTGGTAGATGTGATGTTCTTGATTTCCACTAGCTCTTGGGCCCGGCCATTTGGAAATCGATTAAGAAAAACCTCCCACCTGGCGTGGAGGTCACTGTCCAGGTCCTCTCCGGAAGGCTCTCCTTCTCCGCTTTCAGCGCCGGCAGCGCCAGCCGGACGTGTTGCCCGGGCTTGAGCTCCAAAGAACCCGGACGAGGCAAAGGAGCTAACTGGAACTCAAAGGTCTTCACGTCCTGCAAAGCTGGCAGTGCTTCACTCCTCCCTGCAAGTAGCGATGCACTTGTTAATATTAGCTTAACTTGCTACTATAATGACCCTTGTTACTAGTAACGGATGCACCTATATGCACTCGTGCTTCACTCCTCCCTACAACGAGTTTGGGTGATTCCAAAGGCCTGGCTTCGTCCGACACACCAACTCATCCCTCCTTAGATTCTTCTTTGACCCACTGGAGCACGGCCAAGAATTCCGGCGCCCCCGCGGTCGCTGGCCGAGGGTTGTAGGGGCTCAATTCCACCGTCTGGTAGAGGTGGGGTGAGTAGCGAGGGATGAAGCGCACCGTTTCCACTTCAAGGACCTGGGCTATCAGGTGAAATTGGACTGGAGGCTCAATTCACCCAGCAACGGGAGGCTCGATTCACCTCAATTCTGGGAACAGTGGAGGATGTTTCTTTTCACTGCCAAAGAATCATGTTTTTCCTAGGTGGCTATACTTTGAGACAACAAAGGTGATGACTCGCAGGCCCTGGGCAAGGGCAACTTGTCAACCTCTTCTTAAAAGTATCAGTTGCCTGGGATTGTCATCACATGCCATCACCATAGTTTTGATATTCCAAGGCATGTTCAATGGAAAGACCCTGAAAAGTCCTGAGTGAAGGGGAGTAATTCTTTCTGACATCCAATTTCAAGGAACAACTATAAAGAAACCTATCCGCGAAGCAACAGTTGCAAACACATATATTGAACACGTCCCTAAGCCCTGGGCCCTGCTCAGCCCTGCACACAATTGTTTCATCGACACCCTGCCCTTAGAAGGTCAACACCGTACCTGTCCTTTACATCTGAAGAACAATGTGTTTGATCACCGAAGTTTGATGGATGTTGATGTGTGTGACAAACATTGCATTCTTAACCAGTTTAAAGGGATCGTCAGATCTATCACCCTGCCTTTCTGTATTGGCCCTAAATGAGAAACATTGGAACCAGTTTCCAAGACACTTTCAACTAGCCGGGAATCGGGAATGGGATTTCTTATCATTTCGACATTCATGTCGGGCCCACTCCGGTCAAAAAGATCACTCCAGGCCGCCACCAATCGCAAAGCTTGGGGCTCTTGCGCCACGACTTCCGCCAACTCTGAGGCCGCGTCGATCTCCGAGCGCTCCACGGTCCGCACGCTGCCCAGCACTTGCACTCCGTGGCCGTGGTCGTCCCAGTCCACGAAGACCAAGGAACCCAACTTTTGAAGCTGCACATTGCCCAGGCTCATGTAGAAACCATTGCCCATGTAATCCTCAAATGAAAACTTGTCTGAAAAAAGCAATGGGAACACCAGAAAGTCCAGCAAAGTACCACAAAAATCCGCTGACCCCAGTCTAGGACAATGTACGCTAGCGTCAGCCGAGCGAGGCTGGCGTGTTCCTGATAGGGAGTCCGGTTAGCGGTTAGCGCTGTGCAGCCGTCGCATTGACAAACACTTGCCAACTGTTTGAAGGGAGAACATGTCACAAAATGTGAACAAACATGACAAAAGGTATATGTCCGTTTCAGACCGTCCATATTTTATTTGCCGCGGTCAAAACATTGCCCAGGATTTGGCCTGGAGCTTGCTCCCCCTCCTCCCTCCCAATAGCAGCTACTATTTACTCTGCTATTTATATTTGATTCTTTTTTGCCGTGTTCGTGTCAGGGTCCCGCACGCACACATGCACACAAAACAAATGAAATACTGTACAAGTTCAGCCGCGTCAGTGCACGAAAGGACACATTTTCCTGGTTGACCGGATCATCCAGGTCGGGGGTTTACGTGAGCACCTGTTGCAGCATACTCCGCATCGTCATTTGACCATCACCTGGCTACAAAAACAACAACCTGTATGGCATCGCCGGTGAGCTTTGAATAGCCTGAAGCGGGTACAGTATTAAATACCTGGTTTCTCTTATTTATTTATACTCTTCTATCCAACAAGCAAATCAATTTATCACATTGTTGCAGCCATCGCTCAATCCCCGAAACAAAGCAATTGGCAAGCAAGCAAGCAAGCAAGCAAGCAAGCAAGCAAGCAAGCAAGCA